GCATTTTCTGTCCAAATGGGTGCTTTTCTAAAATTTCCTGAAGTCCCGATTGCTGGAAAGTAGGTTTTTTTCAGTGGTTCTACGTCCAAAAAACCAAGTGGCTTTAAACCAGAATGTTCTACGTTCGAGTCCAATTAAATTCTTGAAACAGGTCATGTGACAAGGAGATAGGACAACTTTGTTCCAAATCATTTGGAGATGGAACCATATGGTTCTCATTTATCATCTGTAGAATGTGAATGTTTGGAGAGATTATTTTGTGATTTTAGCTAAAATTCTTACTTGATGAATTCATTGCACTGGGCTGTCTGAATGATGTGATCTCTCCTTTAAGTGAAAGCTTTGGTCCAGAATAATAAGAATACACCAATTGAATCTGCTAATTGGGACAGAAGAGTATGGATCTGAAAACAAATGTCCTAACTTCCTTGGTAATCTTACATAAAAATAACATTTATCTGTAAATGAGAAGATGGATACCTTTTGCTTTAAAACATATATTAATTAATTTGTCTTGTTTGTTTTATGTGAAAAACATATTGTTTGTAAAGTTAATATTATACAGCACTTCAAATTTAAAAATGTTATTTACTAAAAACTTGTAAATATTATATGTACATCAAGTAAACAAAGTATTGAAACTAATAAGCATGAACGGCAAGTGTGACCCGGGGTAGGTTTTGTCCCCTCAGATAAGTTCACCTCGTGGGGACCCGGTGTAGGTTGTGTCCTCTCAGATACGTTCACCTCGGGGGGACCCGGGGTAGAGCGTGTCCTCTCAGATGCGTTCACTTCCTGGGGACCCGGGGTAGAGTGTGTCCTCTCAGATGCGTTCACCTCGTGGGGACCCGGGGTAGAGGGTGTCCTCTCAGATACGTTCTCCCCGTGGGGACCCGAGGTAGAGTGTGTCCTCTCAGATACGTTCACCACGTGGGGACCAAGGCTAGAGCATGTCCTCTCAGATACGTTCTCCCCGTGGGGACCCGAGGTATAGTGTGTCCTCTCAGATACGTTATCCTCGTGGGGACCAGGTGAAGGTTGTGTCCTCTCAGATACTTTCACCCCGTGGGGACCAGGTGTAGGCTGTGTCCTCTCAGATAATTTCACCCCGTGGGGACCCGGTGTAGGTTGTGTCCTCTCAGATACTTTCACCTCGTGGGGACCCGGGGTAGAGTGTGTCCTCTCGGATACAGTCACCTCATGGGGACCCGGGGTAGGCTGTGTCCTCTCAGATACGTTCTCCCCATGGGGACCCGGGGTAGATTGTGTCCTCTCAGATACGTTGTCTTGTCCAGGCTCGTTTTTTTCAATGACCGCTGTCATATAGCTGGCATATTACTGAGTGCGAGGGCCGGTCGGGTAGCCTAGTGGTTAAAGCGTTTGCTCGTCACGCCGAAGACCCGGGTTCGATTCCCGACATGGGTACATGTGTGAAGCCCATTTCTGGTGTCCCCCGCCGTGATATTGCTGGAATATTCCTAAAAGCGGCGTAATACCATACTCGCTCACTCACTGAGTGCGACGTTAAGCAACAAACAAATTCGAATCCTAGATACTGCTGAACCTGTATTGGAAGTAAGAGGATACTCGCGTGGTCAGACGTGGCTGATGGCGTGGATCGTTGCCGATATCAGCCAGTGGATTGCCTGGTCCAGACTCGATTCCTTGCCGACCGCCGTCATATATGAGGAATATTGCTAAGCGCGTTGTAGGAGGCCCACCCCTGAATGCACCATGGAGTGATTTGAACCAAGGCTCAACTCACTCTAGAGTGAACATTTAAGAGATTGATTTGAACCCGCAGCACCGGCGTTAAACAACAAACGCACACTAAGCACTGAAATAGGTACCAGCGATCGCGGGCAGATGGACTTCAGTCGCACACATGTACGCATGACATAAACTTTACAAATATGTTCAGCTTATATGAGTCTGCACATGGGAAAAGTAAAGACAGTTCAAGTGGCTGTTGTTTGTGTTGGACATGTTTAAGCAGATGCTCTCTGACAGACACAGACAGGCAAGCATTGAGCGTACAACAGAAGAGTCGCGCTGAAAGAACAGGCTGGAAACAGGAGTGAGTGAATGGTGTTTGACGTCGCAGTGAGACAATATTTCAAATATATAACTATACCGCCAGTAAATAAACAAACAAGGGTCAAGTCAGCGAATGATAAGGTCTGACACAACCGACGCCATCAGGAACATGATGACACAACAATTGGCCACACCCGGTAACACACTGCGGAGACCGCCCCCGTTGTTTTGTCAATAGAACGCTTGCCCGGAGCGCGGACGTCGGTGTTCGACGCACTGACAGCGTCATACCAAAAGACGTTCAAAGATAAAACAAGCACTGGTCGGCTCGGAGTCAGTATAATGCTTTTCACTAATATCATGTTAAAGTGCGACATGATATCTCAGTGGGCTAGCAACATAATACCGGCATTACTTTAAAGGTCACACATACACATGTATGTATAGTATCTATACTCATCTCATTAGTGACAGTAAACGTCTATTATTACCTATTTTCATAATAAACAATGAAAACAGAATTTAACGTCAGCTAAATATACTTTTGATGAGCGATACATACATCGTGCAGTCAGACTTTATTTAAGAATTATATAAAGCATAAACCGGTGTGCACACAAGGCAGATATACACAAAATGACCTTATCGGCGTTTACATTTATAAACATCCATAAACGAAATTATTTTTGCGCAATAATCCAACACGAGCCCCTCCTATTCTATTTTCAGGAAACAGAAAGGCGTTCCCTATTTTTTATCAGTGTATGGAAATATTAACACAAAAGAAATTGCCTGGTTAGCGAATCAAATGTCACGGAATCACTTGAAATGTATTTTAGGGACATGTCTTTACATAGGGTACGGTAAAAGGCGAATATGCTTGTCGTAAGAGCCAGTTCTGGTTCCTACTGTGTCCTTCAACAACCTAAATAGTCTAACATATGTCTGTTTGGCCTTGTGAGGAAGCAACGAAAAAGCAACAGGATACATTTTACCATTTACAAGACAATGAATAATATACACTTGGAGCCACAAGCTAGGACAAACAAAAAAAGTACCATCCATAAACAAACTGTCAGAGTCACTCATGATTTCTAACATCTCAGTGGTAGCAAACACCAGTAGTCTGTCGTCTTCCCCGTCATTGATGCACAGAAAGTCTCTTCCATCTTCTGTCTGTGTCCACGTTCCTTCCAAGTTGACTGCTTCTCTGGTTTCTGGAACTTGTGGAATAGTCTTGGCTCTGTTTCTGTACAGGGAAGCTTGAACACTTGCAAAAGAAGGGGCAGTCGCAGCTACTTCTTCATCATAGGTTGTAAAAACTTCACTTTGAACCTCTATGCCGCTTGGATTTGAGTAGAGCTTGGATTAGTTAACAGCCTGAGATGGACAATGCCCATTCATATTATAGGGGCGAGGCAATTAAGCATTTGAATTATTGTAGGCGAAATGAGGTGTAGGCGAAATGAGGGCAAGCCCGGCTAATGGGATCGGATGATCAGGCTCACTGACTTGGTTGATGCATGTAATTGATCTCAATTGTGTAGATCGATGCTCATGATGTCAATCACGGGATTGTCTGGTCCAGACTCGATTATTTACAGACTGCTATCATAAAACTGGAATCCTGCTGAGTGCTGATGAACAACAAACAAACATAGGGTACGTTCGCCAACAGTGTTAATCCATATCTATATATCTCTATACATTTCTATCTAGATTGGTTTTGTTTTCATAAAATAAATATGTTCCACGGTCATGGCGCTGGACTGTTTAACGTTATACGAAACAACTGAACTTCATGTTACGTGTACGACTTTGTTTGATACCAAACATGGCGGAGTAAACACTTGAGTCGAGTTCAAAGGCACCCGCCTTTCTCTAATATAATAGATTATATACAGCGTTTGCGATCTTTTGAATAGGCATCTGGGTCACACACACACACACACACACGTTACAAATGGTTAAAGTGGGATCGCCCCTTGATGATATACATCTATATGATTGATATAGACATGAAGTTCGAAGTGTTATGGCTTGGATGATGTTTAGCAAGTAAGTTATTCTCCTCTAACTTGTTTTTTTCAAGCATGGTTCTGGAAAACTACCGATAGCGAAATGATTTCGATAAATTGAGACAATGTGGTTCAAAAACATTTTTGCTTCGTGTCACGGCTCTCTGTCTGTATTTGTATAGACAAAGCTGACGTAAATAACGATAAAGAAGTAATTGATTTACAAATCAGAAGCCAATGTAAATGTTCTATTATCATTTCTGTCCAACCCAAATGTCACAGAGAGGTACACAGAGATCACAGGGAAATCAACAACGGTCTAAGGGAGATAATCTATTGAAGGACAGGAACACGAGGCGCACGTAAAATGATAATAATGTAATTTAAAAAACCTGCCACGTTTATGAGACATATTCTTCACACAAAATGGAGAAGTAATAAGAACTTCACAGCAGGGCCTCTCCCTGCGAAATATTTAAAGAGGAGATATTTATGCAGAAACATGAGCCATCGTAAACAGTGTTCTCAGAAGCCATTATTTGGAAAGAAAGTTAGATCTAATTGTTTAGCTTCTTGTGAATTCGGTTTCTTAACAAAACTTTATATGTTCACGTGACAGCCACGTCTGGTACAATATGTTGTAGTAAGGTAACGATTTCACCTACTTACTCTTGATAAATAATTTCTGTTTCTGTGAAATAAACTGATGGATCGTTTACTTCTGACGCTAAAGGGTAGATTGTACGAGTGACTCTTTTAGTTTGTTGATTACCTCCCTTTGACCGTTGTTCCGTTTTGATCTCAACACGCGAGTGGCATTTGACGTTAAACTTACCAACTGCTAATACACATTATACAGGAAATCATACCTGTGGTATAAACGGTTCTATGGTGATCAAAATCTGTTGTCCCAGTTTTTTTGTTTGTAATCAACCACAAGTGAAATGATTATTTACATTGTTTTATTATAAGAAAATAATGATGGTTATGTACAATGCAATGATAATTCCAGCCCAGGTTTAGACGTGCCATGTATGAAACTGGGACATTGTCTATGTGTAACGTGGCTTACTTCAATTACAGCATCTAATTTAATAAAGCCTTGCGATTTTACGCGACAGTCATTATTGGTGTCGGGTTCACCGCCATAGCAGCACGCTCAGAGTTCTCTCCCTTAGTTGGGGCAACAGGAAGGTTGCATTTACAGGGTTTAACTCCTGTTCCATGGGGGTGTCCACATTCACATCCACTATCGGAGGTCGGGCCTGCTCTCTTCTTTGGCCGGCTGTCTAAATTGACCTCAGTGTGTTGCCTCCCGCCCTCACTGTCACGAGTCTCGCTGTCTAGGGAAGATGCGGATCCCATGGCAGAGTCTTGATATTCAGATACACGCATTTCTTCTTTGTTCATATCTATAACTACCGATTCAGGTTCCCTTGCACCTGCGTGTAGTTCGTTTTGGCTAAGTAGTTTCTCGTCGTCGGGTAGGTTCTTTTTGCGTTTGAACTGACGGAGTAGACATTTCTTCGTTTGCCAAACAATACTGAGCAATAGCAGAACCCATCCAACGACACACCCAATTTTCCAATCTGAAACAAATGAAGCAAAACAGAATCGAGTAAGATATATACTCCACATGAAATGTGTGTGCATTACAGACAATAAATCTGTGACCATGACCTTCCATTGAGGAAAGCATGCATATGCGTCATAAAGGTGACGCAACGCAAAAAATGCCTAAGACCAATCAACGTAAGAAAGTTTTGAAGGCGTGAACAAATGTTACAAAGAGGGAGGGGAAAAACCAATCCTCCCCACATATGCGAGTGCATTGTTGTTTTTATCATACCGTTTATATCAATACATGAATGCCATCTTAATCATTACCAAATAGTAACATATACCTTTGATTTCGTTTTGGAGATGACTTATCCTCTTCAAATGGATTTCCGTGTTCCTGTTCTCCGACACGTTCATTGACTCCGTTTTGTTATGTAGCTCAGAAATTTGTTTCGCGAGCTCTGTATTTTCGATTTTCAAAATTCCATATTTTTGCTGTGTGTCAGTGATCTGTTCACTGAGTTGCATGATTTCAGCGTGGCTCTTGTTCAAATGTTCCATACACTGCAATTCCTGTGTTTCGAGTTTCGAGTTTGTTTCGTTTATTTCCGATAATCTTTTTCTCAACACCACCTCTGAGCAGAACGCAGCGCAGTCACTGGGCATGGTGGCCAGGCCACATTCACTCTCCCTGTCCGAGCAGAGAAAACATCGCTCTCGTTCCTGCACACAGTATTGCCGGCCGGCTTCACAACTGTCTCGGAAACACTGAAACCCATGTGTCAGTCCAGTATGCATGGAAAGAACAACGAAACACGTTAGGTACAACTTGGGCGACACCATCTTGGAACGAACTCGCTGTCAACAATCCCGTTGCAACGACACACGTGATTACTGTGTTGTAGTATGAAGTTCCGATCTTTTTTGAAGAAACATGTAATCAACAGGAAGGCACTACTTGCACATCAAACGTTCAACAGGGTCCGTGTATAAATGGCAAAAGTTGCCTGAAATTGCTTATATCGCACATGGGAAAACCCCTTTCCCTTAAAAAACCTGGAAAACCCAATCTATTTATAAAGCTTACCCCGCGTGGAGCTAGAACATTCGATATAATGCAATGCATATGCGAGGATACTATTATTGATGACATTCGTAAATAAGACGGCAAGCAACAAGGAGATATTATATCAATACAAACATATTTTCAGTCATGCATTTATTGTACAACATACACGTTTAATTTTATATGAACCTAACGTCAAGGCGTTATGCAATATAGCTGCTTGTCACGAGGTCATGTGGTACATACATGATCAATAGGAACAGGAATAGTATGTTACCGTAGTCAGTTACCATGCTGGATAATTTACACACAAATGGTGTGGCATACATTTAAAAAATCCGTTTAATAATTCACAGCTGCCCTACCTTCAACTTGCTATACCTATGGACATGTCGATGTTTCGCAATTGTAGCTGAGAATTCTGAGAAACCGGCTGATATATGATTTACACCTGGAGAGTTGTCATTATTATATTAGGGCTCATAGGCAATGTATTCGCTTCTATATATTAGACTAACATATAGTATGTGACCTATTTTGTCACACTTTACCTTTACGTCCTCTTGACATTCATTTCCTAAATGCTGATTTAGAACAGAGCTAGCTAACCTTGCTTTGTTAAATTTTATTTTCATGAAATACATATACTCTGGTTGCAGGACAAATTATCATTAACCGGATTTTATGATTTTTTATCACATCATGTGGTAAGGTTTGTGTGTACGGAGTTATCGTAAAATGAGGTCATTACACTACTGGGATGTCGAGAATGTGGCTGCCTGCCCATCGCCCTACCCCGAATATTAGTTGGAATATTAATTGCTGATAGCGGCGTTAAATAACATTCACTCATTAGACCAAAATAAAAACAAGAAACTATTCAATATTAACTGTAACTGTGACTATGACTGTCATATTAACGTTTGTTGTTTGTTGTTTAATGCCGCATTCAGCAATATTCCAGCTATATGACGGCGGTCTGTAAATAATCGAGTCTGGACCAGACAATCCAGTGATTGATATCATGAGCATCGATCAACACAATTGGGATCGATGACATGTATCAACCAAGTCAGCCAGCCTGACCACCCGATCCCGTTAGTCGCCTTTTACGACAAGTATAGTCACCTTTAACGGCAAGCATGGGTTGCTGAAGACCTATTCTACCCCGGAATCTTCACGGGTCTGTGGCAGAGGTACTATGCACAGGAACTCGATGATAGCGTGTATAACATAATATAATCGTATAGAGAAAACAATCACATCCCTCCATATTCATAAAGACCTTGTCTATATGTTTATAGAGGGGTGTGATTTTTTCTTTACGAATATATTATGTTATACACGCTATCATCGAGTTCCTGTGCTACTATGCTGGCTGGCTGCCGGGTACATGGAACTCTGGGTAGGAGAGTGCGGTTTATCCGTTGGCTTTATCCTACCCATTATATGATAAAAGAGTTGTACACACCGGTTGTAGGTGGGGCAACCTAGGTCAAACTGATATGGACTGTCTCACGCAAGCTGCCACAGATGACCCGGTTCGACATGTAGGGTGTGCATCACACTCGTATTTGAGCCGCCCCTTGTACTCTTAGGATGCTTTGTCAGGCCCATACAATAGAATAAATATAAATAAATGTTGCGTATGTGTTGAGTATGTATCGGTAATGCGCGAAACTTCCACAACAGCTGGCGACTTTTCAAATGTTGTCGGCCAACAGCATCCTCATCTTTATACAATACACACAGATAAAAATAGCTTATTTACGTGTCACACGTTACATAAGCGGTGTACAATTTATAACGAACACGCTTATAACGAACTGACGGATATAACGAACTTATTTTTTAGTCCCGACGATTTGTTGTATAAATGCTGTGTATATGCTTATAACGAACTACGGTTATCACGTACTAAAATTAGTGGTCCCTTCGAGTTCGTTATAACCGTAGTTTACTGAATATATAAATATAAAATGAACATTATATACTCTAAAGGCAACGCCTCGCATTAATACTTATAAGACACAATAAAACAATAAATACATGTATACATTATAACGATAATTTTCGTATCCTGTACAAAACAAAGGGAGGGAAAAACTTATTATGAAACCGTCTGAATGTATGCTGCTCTGCAGTAGTAAGAAAAGCACTGTTATTTGAATTAGAGTTATTTGCTGCCAAGAGCCTCGTGTTTGATTGATCTCCACTACGTGGTTCACCAACTTCCGGTACAGGAACAGAAAATCCACCTGGGCTCTGTGTATTGTGTAGACTTGAGGAACTGTCAGAATACGAGGCCGTGGAGTCCAAAGCACTATCGCCAGATACCTGGCTGTCTCTGTTTCCGCCATTGTCAGCTACAGTGATTAGACATTTCAATTCTGTGGCATCGCGTCCAATTCCGTAAGTTTGGTCTTCAACGAGATTGTTCTGCTCATTTCCTGAAATCAAATAGGTGTAAAATAAACCATTGCCATCTACGCTATGTTTTGTATGCGTCACTTTTTTTGTATGTGTCCTTCGCCGTGATATTACTGGAATATTGCCAAAAGTGGAGTAGAACTATTTTCTGTTTGCATGCCTGTATTGGGTCTATAACGATCCATTTCACGATATGATGTGTATGCACAATGGATATCCAGTATATTTTATCTCCATTCGATTATGACATGTACCTTGACTGGGTGGCTTTTTTAGCGTCGTCTCGTTCAAATCTAGACTGGAAGAAGTACCTGTTTCCTGTATGAAATTAAAAGTAAATGAAGAAATCCGAGGTATTTTATTTAGTCTTCTTTGGTGACTGCTTCAGTCTAATTCAAATGAGATAAAAAACGATGCTATGTTGACGACAAGGTCTAACGTATATATCCTAATAGAATCGAGATTCAATGCACTGGATAATCGAGGATGATATGCATGTGGACATAAAGTTGTTGATACTTGAAAACCCGACACTTGACACTCGTCAACTGGAATGATGGGAGTACCAATCAAAGCGCTTTTGTTATTGAAGAAAATATAATGAACAACGGCTTGACAACGGTTACGCTTGCTCATACCGTCAAAAGATATTCTTCATTCATGAACATCGGTCTATGCAAGTGACAAATCAGTGAGACTGGTGGTTTTTTTAAAAATCATCTCCCCTTAGAATTGGTCGTCAGCAATTCATGATTGGAAGAGGCGACTAACAGGATCGGGCGGTCGGTCTCGCTGACTTGGTTGATGCATGTCATCGTATCCCAGTTGCGTAGATCGATGTCAACCACTGGATTGTCTGGTCCAGATTCTATTATTTACAGACCGCCGTCATATAGCTAGAAAATAGCCTGGTGCGTAATGACGTAAATTCTCTAAAAGCGTTGATTTAATAAAGAGTCCAACGATAATGTACATATTAATACAGTAGAGTACTAACCTTTTCGTTTTAGTAGCGTACGGTATCTGCAAAATTTCACTCCAAGTACTATAACCAGGAATATTGAGACAACGAACAGACTAGCAACGGCTAGAGCGATTGACTTCCACCTGATCACAGAATCATCAAACTCCCATTTCTTCAATTGTTTTCTGTTGAGATCTGTGTCATTGGTTACGTTTCGAATGCGTCCATACAATTCCTGAATTGTAGAATTATATGCTACTTCTCGTTGGTACATCGTCCGACGGGTACAGTACGAATCACAAGTAAGTGGGATCTTATCTGTTCCACACAGATGGAAAACGTCCTTGCAATGATAACAGCGCTGTCTGTTGTCTTGACAGTATTACTGGCCCCGCACGCACAGGTCGTTGTGACACCTGAACGTTGTCAATGTAAATGCGGATGACACACACGTTAAGAATACAATCTGAAATAACATCGGGTGTCTCGCCATTCTTCCAGTGATCACCCAGCAATCTTAGTGAGGTCACCACACCAACTCTAGGTTGTACAGATTGATACCTTGTCGACGTCAAACAAGTTTTAAAACTATAGGAATACACTGTAATATTTAATGTTCGACAATAACCGTGTTATAAATGTCATTGAATTATCATTTCTTGGCTATATCACCCCTTTATATAAAACAATTCGACATTTAGACAGACGTAGCTTAAACATGGTTTCTTGGTAGTTGATGGGAGCGCCTAAACACAATAGACACCTTTATCAAAACAGCAGCTAGATGTCTATTCGTATGAAGAGCGAGTTGATATATCTGCATGCCCGATGTTCGCATTTATAGGCCAGCGAGTGGCGCACCTCAAATCATTTACGAAGTCAGGAGAGTTGGAAAATCCCAAATAGCGTTGATACGTAATATATATTAGGACGTTGTTGCGAAAGAGGAGAATAATTATTTTTTTTGTTGCGTTCGAGTGAGTTGGTGATTAAAAACTGTAAGACGCTGACAATACTGTTTTTGTACGACTTGAATCAAAACCTGTTTGACTTGAAACACGACAACCTTCAACATAAATAGATATTGGGCATACCAATGACCCACTTAACGACCTATCCCACAGACGGGTGTCTTCCCGAGGCAAGAGAGTTAACTGACTTTAAATGTCCAGTTCCACCCTTGCCGAACTAGGCTGGAATTACTGGGCTCGATCGTAGCGCAACCAGTGGCTATAACAGTTATGTCCCTTCTAAGCCTCTCCTATGGACCAACCAGATTCCACCTCTCGTATCACTTGCGTTTGCTTCACACAAAATGGTGGCTCCCGGTCAGGACGATCTGATCGATAATCAAGATCTATATTGTGATAAAACTGCAATCTACCGAAATCTGCACGACAGTTTACGAACCGGATTTCGACTTCGTTGCGCGCTTTTGATTGGACTATTCACAGACTCGTTAATCCAGCCAAAATATAACTCCATAATACCAGCCTAGTTCGGCAAGGGTGGAAACTGGACTTGTATAGTCAGTTAACTCTCTTGCCTTGGGAAGATGGGTGTATGCTGGCGTGTGTGTATCTTACCTGGATCGTCAATACATGTCACCTCATGCATGCATTCTGTGTTTTAATGTATTGTGGCTGAATAGATACTGATTCTGATCTCTTCCTTATAAAACAAATCTGGTTGTATCTAAATAGTACAAGCCCAAAGATATTTGCTAGCCCACTGAGATACCATACAGAAATTCTAACATGGACACCTAACTCTGAAACCAAGATGTACTCAGAGGACAAGCATTGTCGCCTCTTGAGACAAGCATGAGTTGCTGAAGACCAATTCTAACCGAGATCTAAACTCAATATGACATAAAAGGGAACAATATGACATTAAAGGGACATTACCTGTGATTCTTTTATTCTCTCTCTCTCTTTCTCTCAAACCCACCAACTGATCCTGTTTGGATAAGGGACACAACTCTGTACAACACAATTGTTGCACATTAGACCAATGATGTCCCTTACCACTATTTGAATAAATAACATAAAACATCAACACATATTAATGCACGACTGTTAGTTTTATTTCACTGAAGCAATAAAATAATTTCAAGGATCATCATATCATATCCTGTATCCTTCAAATATTTAAAACAGTTCATTAATGAGAGTTACATGATCAAATATTGCGAGTGAATGCCCTCTAGTACCTGAATATCATCATGGCAAGGTAAGTACAACAACATAGGCACTGATCATGTAATAGCTTTAGGGGGGCCTGGGATGTCTTTCTATTCTATTAGTAAATGCTTTAAAACAAATATAAAATGAGGAGCAAAAGATTTCTTTTGGACCCACAACACATTATTATTTTGAAAAATTTAAGGCTATATAATATTTTTTTTAAATTCCCAGCCCCACCATGGTGCCTATGGCCACAGTTGGACCAGTTGAAGTCAAAGCCAACCAGCTCGAACATAAATTCTTTCATGGACACGAACACTTTGAAACTTTGTACCTATGAATACATACCTCATACATTGTACCTATGAATCCATACCTCATACATTGTACCTATGAATCCATACCTCATACATTGTACCTATGAATACATACCTCATACATTGTACCTATGAATACATACCTCATACATTGTACCTATGAATCCATACCTCATACATTGTACCTATGAATCCATACCGCATACATTGTACCTATGAATACATACCTCATACATTGTACCTATGAATCCGTTAAATTATTGGTCTAATAGAAATGATATATTACCCGGTAAATACCAGCCATGATAAATTTCTAATCTTAAGTCTCAAAGAATGGTTTGATACTGTCCCTCATGAAACGGATGAACAGAAAGACAACCAAGATGCTTCATCACTGTACATCCTTACACATGATTAATGACATCACTGTATCAGTACAAACTTCTACATCTTCCAACACAGACAGTACGTTGCATTCAGAATAATCATATCCTCATATATTTGAATTGGAACTGATTTTCTCGAGCAAGGCAAATATGGCATGTTTTGCTTAGTAATATTATGTGAAAATGATCTATAAAAAATGTGATAATAATTTATGCTGTGCATGAGCTAAAGCCAAATTGTGAATGAATAACTAAAAACATTTTTTACTAACGTTACAATTTTGTCTGTGTATTGACAATATAAAGACATGAAATATTCAAAAAATGTTTTCATCATTTTAAAACATGTCATGAGAAAAATGTTTAGTGGTTGGTTTTGTCTGTATACAATCGATGTCAAAACTGTCCAGGATTACAAAGCGAAAAGCCCTTCAATGACCTGACTTTGCCACCATGATAGGTCTTTAGTTGTCTGTCTACCAAAAAGAGCATAACAAAGTAACAAAAATCCTGCTGACCATGTCATTTTGAAAATATTCCAATCAGTGTTTACTTTTTTCAAGGCCCAACAAAAGTATCAGTATCTCTATACACTATGATACACGACACAAAATAAAGCGATTACTTAGCTTGAATATGCATTTCTCTACATACAAACTGTATATAGCTGTGGTCAGAAGTCACATGTGGTTATAGGTTGACTGAATCACAACACCTTCAATACAGGCAATACATCAATGATTATGAGAAATAAATATAAGTAACAAACAAATAAATCACAACAAAAAATAATAATGTGAGAATAATGGGTGATTACAAAATAAGGAATACAGGTTACTAATCCAACTAATCCAATGTATGAATACAGTTACTCTTTGTATTACTGGCTTCACATTTTCCTGAATACATATTACCTGTTGAGACAAATGCAGACAACTTACAAAGCACAGTTACAACACAGAAAGTGATAACACTGTATCAAATTGCCTTTTCAGACTGGGATCTCAACTGGCAATTAAGGGGAGGTAACTCTAACAGACATTTCGGACCATCACAACTTCTATTACATGTCAAATCAATTTTTCTTGTTTCCAAACTTTAGACTGAAACACCTGTTACATATATGGCTAACTTAATATTTCCTAAACAATTGCTCTTGAAACAAAATTAAATGCAAAATATAAACAAACAAACATCAACAACAAAAATGAACCAAATAGTTTTTTAAAATAAACCCCAAAACAAATGCAGTTACATTTATTTATTTCTAATTTTCAGACATTCAGACAGGCACAAGAAAGACAGTCAGGTTAACCTGTGGAGAAATGATAACGTAATAACCATGAGATACTGTTCATTCAGCTTGTGGAGGATGAGAAAAATACAAGCAATTATTAACATGCTAAATTAGAAATATAACATGAGAAAAATATTCCTCGTAAATGAGTTAAACATAAAATTTCATAAATGGAGATAAATCCAAATTTGGATTGAAGATGAGTCAAATCAATGAGTCAGTTGTATTATTTATTCTGAGGCCTATTGCTATGAATGTGTTATCTTGTATTTTTTTTAAATTGTTGACTTGGTGGCCATTAAACACATTTAACTTCAAAGCAACCATTTTTTAAAGATATTTCTTAAAAAGTATTGGTAATTGGGTAAACATAAGAAGTACGTGTTTCTTTTATATTCTCTCCCACACTGAACTTTCTTGCCATTACTGAAATGTCATGAAGAATATACAAAATGTTCTCAAAATGTTGATTTCATTTCACATTTCAGAATTCATCGTCAGTGGACCTGTAAATGAAGTAAGAGTGAGTGAGTGAGTGAGTTTAGTTTAATGCCAATCTTTGAAGTATTCCAGCAATATCATGGTTTGGGACACCAGAAATGGGTTTCACACATTGTACCCATGTTGGGAATTGAACCTTCAGCATGATGAGTGAGCACTTTAACCACTAGCCCGACCAAGTAAGATTGAGTGAGTGAGTTGGGTTTAACGCCGCTTATAAGATTATACCAGTTATATCACTGCGTGTCAGCTTAATGTGGGAGGAAAGCCAGAAGTGATGCAGGTCTCAGACGTTTACCACTTCCGCGAAACCCACGAGCACGGGTATGATGCTGACAAACACCTAGGAACATAATCGTGGCGAACCGGGTTTCGAACCCACAATCATAGGTTTCTGGCGTGCCCAGGGGATGCAACTCTGCACAGCGAATCGTAGCACCTTAGACGACTGGGCCACCCTTGCCCCCCTAACCAAGTAAGAAGACATAAACAATGAGGATAACATATTGATGCAGGTGAGCTGGCTGCAAATGGGCGGGACTGACTGCCTCAAAACTGAACATTATGAATGAAAAAGGCTTACGATATAATCATGTTATACCCCCAAAGTATACAAATATTGAAAATGTTCATTAAATAAAATACATGTCATTTATATAAACATTACAAACAAATAAAAACAATGAGCACTATGTAATGATACTTATTGTGTCATTTAATTAGCATAGTAAGGGTTAACATCAGGTTCATATAGGTGACAAAACATGATTATCTTCAATACACATAACAGAGATGTAGTTCAAGCTATCTGACAGGGGCCACGACAAGGTCAAAGGATCTAGGATCACAATCCTGCGGATCCCAGGATTCAAACCCAGGAACGGCAGATCCTGGCTGCTGTGTAAGGGATGTAACTTTGCAGAAGGGGCAGTGGTGCATAAGATCACTGGGACTTTTACAACTAGAGTATGATGATATCTTGAATGTTTTGTTTGTTGGGTGGGGTGAAGAGAGGAAGAGTTAACCATGACATATTCCTTGCAATCATCTGAAGGGCAGGGGGGACTGGAGGTGTGTGGTTATGACTAGACAATACCTGAGGATGCCAGCGCAACAGCTGATGAAAAGGTTCATGTCGAAAGAAGTATCATAAATAGATGCTGTGTCAAGACACAAACATAGCTGTTGTGACGCAAACATACCTGTCTTGTCAAGACACATACACCGCTGTAATGTCTGGATGCAATACTGCTATGTCTAGACATAACACTGCTGTTGTGACATGAACATTGCTGTTATGTCTAGGCACAACAATGCTGTTACGACACTACATAGCTGTTATGTCTAGACATAATACTGCTGTTGTGACACGAACAAAGCTGTTATGTCTAGGCACAACAATGCTGTTATGACACTACATAGCTGTTATGTCTAGACATAATACTGCTGTTGGGAAACGAACAAAGCTGTTATGTCTAGGCACAACAATGCTGTTATTACACTACATAGCTGTTATGTCTAGACATAATACTGCTGTTGTGACACGAACAAAGCTGTTATGTCTAGACCCAACAATGCTGTTATGACACTACATAGCTGTTATGTCTAGACATAATACTGCTGTTGAGACATGAACAAAGCTGTTATGTCTAAGCATAAAACATCACTGCTCTGACACAAACATAGCTATCATGCCAAAATGCAAACTTGACTATTTTGACATTCCATTGTGCTACCAATGAACAGGGAATTTATAGAAACAAACAGGTCATCATGAACTGCAATATATGCGAGAGTTAGAAAGGGAAAAGGAAGTTTCACATAATCTCACTCCACAACAGAGATGCCTAGTGATACAAACTGATGAAATAACTAAATTAATTTGATCATCAGAGCATTAGGTTTAATGCAACTTCAAAAGTAAAGAGTCTTATCATGGCAACCTTTACTTGTATAAAGTCTTATCCAAGAAACATTTAACAGTAAAGGGCCTTTTATGGGCAACTTATAAAAGTATAAAATCTTATCTTGGCAACTTTTAGCTGTATTTAATCTTATCCTGACAACTCTTAACAACATTATGTCTTATCCTGTCAGGATTTATTCTTATCCAGATAACTTTTACAGTATTTAGTCTTATTCTGTTAACTTTTACAGTATTTAGTCTTATCCTCATAACTTTCACAGTATTTAGTCTTATCCTGGCACGTCAGCTGATTGTTGTAGTTAACGCCTAATGTGATGCAGATCATAGACGTATATCACTCTGGTGAAACCAACAAACACAGGTGGGGCATGACCAACGAAGGACAACAATCGTGGCTAATTTGGGACAGACAAAAACGACATAGAACACCACATGGAGCAAAAACAAGTATGCTAAACAAAGGGAAATCCCAGCACAGGTATTGGCCAAAAATAGATTCATGGTTAAAGACACACATCATAAGGTGTTTGTAGCATAAATAAACTCTAGACACTGAAAGCATCTCTTGTTTGCAAGGCACCATTGTAGTGTGTGTCCCTCGGTAGGAAATGAGATATCATTATGTGAAGTTTTGGGAATTCTGTGTGCACACATTATATTGATGTCATGTTCAGTGATACAGGACAATGAGTACTGGTGGATACATTTAGATAATTATATAAAGTAAATGTGTACTGGCCACTGACCAGTTGTGACAATTTTTTAAAGCGTTATTTCTGAAATATTTGGAAATGAAAGTTTACTGTACCACTTACTCTGACTGTTGAAACAATGAGCAAATGCTCTGTTTGAAGTCCATGGAAAAAGGTTGAGTCAGTTTCTGTTATTCCACTGAGATGGGGATTCAAGACAGTGGAAATAGAACTTTCCCTGTGACTTACCATTCCAGTCATCCCTATTGTCTTATGCAACATCATCCCTCGCATCTCCACAGGTATACAAATTACATTTCTTATAATTTCTGGTATGATATATTTTTTAATCAATGCATCGACTGCCAATGGACATAAACCAATATTCCTCAAATTACATTCTTAACATGTTTACAAATAACACTATTTACTGTAAAGTTTGTAATATCTTCAGGTTATGTATGTTTCAAGAAAAAGGCTAACTCAGTTGTAAAATCATATTTTTTCAGACAGACCTAGTTGGAGTTTTGTTTATGTGACACGACTGCATGTACCATTTGAAATTATTTTGAGTTTTCTGGTGTATTTATAATATTTCCAAATGACTGAAACGAGATAATATTTGAGATAAACCACTCCCTTCAAATAAGAAAATGAGCTGAAGAAAAGCAAGTTGCAATATAATTGGTCTTCGTCAATAATTGGTCACTAGCCTGATCACGAAACAAATAGGCAATGCAAAAATACAATTCAAGTTACAAATCTGAACTTTCTAGTCTTGAATGTCAGGTAAAATCACTGATCAACGCAACATCCAGGTTTTACCTCGAACATAGCCTCTACCATGTATTCAAGTAGCTTAGCTTTTCGTTGAAAACCAAATCTATATTGTGCTTGCAATTCAAGTTAAGGACACATTGTTGAAAATAACACCATACCCAGCAGACCTGTGAATTAAGCATGTTAAGTCCATTAAGACAGACAGCAACATATTTCAACTTTACAGAATATGCAAAACAATCAATCACCACGGTCAAGACATGAGGTCTGTTTCCACACATTTGTGTATATGACTTGTTACAGTTTCATTGAAAAACAAATAACTATTTAACTTAAAAAAAAATTCAAAAAATTCATGAGCTTTCAAAAATAAAAATGGAAACAACAAAGTTCAATTCTGAAATAGAAAATGAAATGAAAAGTGTGAACAGCATAAAACTGCCAGAATTGTTACCATGGTTACAGGAATATTTGTGACCAGATTTGGCAGGAAAAAAGCGAGCAAATATAAAAGTAAAAGTGACACACAGTCACAACAGCATCTCTACTACTCACCTGTCAACAGACCCGACACAATCCTATATTTCAGTTAAAGATGTCTGCCAGTATTGATTTATGTATACTTACATAAGTTATGTCAGTGTTTTGCCAATTTGAAGGAAAGCAGCTGAGAATTGTAAACTTAGCATGAGACAGGCCAACTACATATTCTTCTAACCCAGAAAGTGAATTAATTACAGTCCGTTTGACTCCAAATGAGAACGATGAATTGCAAAATAACTTGAAATCCAGAAAAGTGTATGAAACATCAATACGGTACTTGACCATGAATACCCTGTACCCAACAAAATCTGAATTTTGTTTAATTTAAGACCCATGACGGATGAAGTTCTTTAAGTAACTATCATGTAATTTTGTATAGAAATGTGTACATGACACGTAGGGGGACAAACCGTGGAAGGAACAGCGCAAGCACGGTCTGCACGTGCTACACAGTGACCGTGTTCATTCATTGACAAGATGCGCTACTCAGCAGATGTTAAACAGTTGATGTTGAATGTGTATGATTTCTTTAGAAGTTAAGCAGAAAGAGCAAAGGCTTTTTATGCAATTAATAAATTCTTGAAACGAGCTTCAAAAGCTCTTGGTATGTCCCCTCGGAAACTTTAAAATGTTGTTAGTCGACGAGATACAAATAGTCAGGCCAAGGAGGTAGGAAACATGTCAAAACCACGCAAGGTTGATAAATTAGACCGTTTTCAGAGGGATCAAGTCAGACGTGCAATTGTTAAACTGCACTCAGAAAATAAGTACCTGTCCCTAAGAATTTTGAAGAAACACCTTGGAACTGACCATGATTTACGTGTTACAAAGTACAAACTATGACAGCTGTTGCATACATTTTGTTACAAATACAAAAAGATAACTGGAGAAAATAGGGCTGTGTTGTGTGAACGGTCTGACATTGTTCATCTCTGAAATCATTCCCTTCGTACCATCAAGCAGAAACGTGAAGAAGGATATGAGCCCGTCTTCTTAGATGAGACATGGGTAAATGCGTCACACACAGCCAGCAGTCAGTGGGTACCCAGTGGTGACTGTAAGGAGTCTGGTAGAAAGTTACCAATGAGAAAGGGTGAAAGACTCATAGTTCTCCATGCTGGTTCTGCTAGTCAGGGTTTTCTCCCAGACTGTGACCTCGTCTTTAGAGCCCAGGCCAAAGACAACAGGGACTACAACACAGAAATGAACGGCAATGTATTTCTGGAGTGGGTGAAAGATAAATTAGTCCCTGCTTTGCCTACCAAGTCTCTCATTGTCATGGAAAACGCACCGTATCATAGTGTGCAGGATCCAGAAAGCAAGACTCCAACCTCTAATAACCGTAAAGGAGACATGGTTACTTGGCTGCAACAGAGAAACATTACCTTTCCTTCTCGAGCGACGAAACCACAGCTCTATGAAATCATCAAAACTATGAAACCCGACCCCGTGTATAAAGTTGACAGTTACATCAAGGGTCAGGGTCACGCTGTCTTACGACTGCCACCTTATCACTGCGACCTGAATCCAATCTAGTTGGTATGGGGCATCGTCAAGGGTGACATTGGACGATCGAACACAACGTTCAAATTAGGAGACGTTAAAAAACAACTCGTAAAGGAATCCCTTGGTCGGGTAACAGTAGAAACATGGAGGCGTTGTGTGGCCACAGTCATTGACGTGATAGAACCACGTTATTGGTCACGAGATGGACTACGGCCAGCAACAGTCCAACCTATAATAGTGGCAGTCGGTTCAGGCACCAGCAGTTCCGACGACGAGATCTATGGCCGGAGCAAGACAGATTGCGACTGAAATTATCATGAGACGGCCCCTCTAGTGCTCTGTCATTTCCCCTACCACAGAACGTGCAGTGCATGCGTGCTTGCGCTGTGCCTTCCACGGTTTGTCCCCCCTACGTGTCATGTACACATTTCTATACAAAATTACATGATAGTTTCTTCATCCGTTATGGGTCTTAAATTAAACAAAATTCAGATTTTGTTGGGTACAGGGTAGCCATGGTCAAGTACCATATTGATGTTTCATACACTTTTCTGGATTTCGAGTTATTTTGCAATTCATCATTCTCATTTGGAGTCAAACGGACTGTAATATCAAATTATTGTTGGTTCTTTAGCTCTGCCTTGTTGCCATGGTTACTTCGGTGTGTGACATAACAATCCGATAATGGCATGAATGGGATGTCATGGCAAAAAGTTAAGTGAAACATTGAAAGGAAACTTTTTTCTAAACTTGCAAAACATAACACAATTTTTTCTTCCAGGTTTTACCCATCAACCAATCAAGCATATTATTCTTAATGATACTTTACTGAAATGAAGTAGAGTTTGTGAGACTAACCCAAATGCTTCTAATTTGACGCAGTGGTGAAAAATGCATTAAAAATAGAATAAAAGGCGTTCGTACATAATTTGTTAATCCAAAATAAAACATATTACAGACATCCTTAACTGCTGGTATAGTTTGTGAGACGAGGCGAGGGAGTATGGTTTAATACAATATTTAGTCATATTCCAGAGAGCTAGCAGTTTGGGGCACCAGAAATGGGCTACACATTGTACCCATGTGGGATGGCAACCCAGGCCTTCTGTTTGACAGTATTATAGGCTGAGACAGTCGACTTTTAAACTCCCTTCAGGACATTACACTATTGTTTACATATCAAATTACCGACATTGTGAAATACATACTGGTTCAAAGAGATGCTAGGCCATAGTTTTTCAATAGATATATCTACAGATTTGTTTTTAGAAAGGTCGAAATATTATATAGTTAATGATTATCCGATAATTTTATATTTTATTTGATAAGGCATAGTATAGGTCAGTTTAGCAGGAAAAATATATTCAAAATATGTTGGGTATTTACTATCTATACAATAATTTCATTTCTGACAGAGATTTTGTGGCTATTGCCTTTGAAGCTTGGCTTTTAATAGTTGAATATCTTCATTACATAACAAAAAATATCCCCTCCATCCAAAATTCGACGCGAATCCATTTTTAACATGTTTAAAAGATTCCTTCATAAATGTATAATTTTGTATCTTGATTTGTTTTCACTAATATGTTTTGGATAACACACATCTATATAATCAATAATGATACAAAGGCCGCATAGTCCCATTGTTTTCTTCAGCATTTACTAATTGGGCAAACATTAGTGCACACACGTAAAATCTAGGTTCTTAAAAAATTCTAAAAAATTAACATTTTTTTCATACAAACCATTGACACACATGCACATATTCAATATTGCACTCGAGACATCTCACATATACTGACCTATTTAAGCACGTCTAAGGAAAAGGTCTTGGAAAAAAATGACTAAATTCTGAATTCTGGATTAACTTTGTTATCAATCCACAACATACACACTTGTGTGAGTTCTACTGAATATGTTCACTAAAATACATCTGCATCCGAGCTGATAACTACAAACTGTTTTTATTTTCATGGTAGCAAGATCCAAACATGAAATAAAGACTACAGACTCATTTAATGTATTGCTCAGTCTCATGAAATACAGGCCAAAGATCAGCCAAGTATACATTTCTTCATTTCTATTTTGTTCAGGTAGCAAAATAAACATCATTTTGCTAATTGCTGCAACTCATTTCATTCCTCTAAGTTCCATAATGTAATATATTAAGAAAGATGAGAATTCTTTCCCACTAGTTTCATCACCATGTTACATAATCATGATAATAATCAAGTTACCTGACCATATTACATAACAAAATTTAACATGTCACTTAATAAAATCTTGTTACTTAATAACCATGTTACACAATAACATGTTACACAATAACATGTTACTTAACCACATTACACAAAAACATGTCTTTTTCTAATCATGTTATTTAATAACCATGTTACTTAACAACCATCATACATGATAGCACATTACTTAATAATGTTACTTAATAACGATGTTACATCATAGCATGTTACTTACCCACATTGCATAATAACATGTCACATTATAATCATGTTATTCAATAATCATGTTACTTAACCATCGTACATGAAATCAAGTTACTTAATAATGTTACATAATAACCATGTTACACAACAGCATGTTACACCACAACATAGCCACTTTATAGCGATGTTGCATTATAAACATGTTACTTTGTAGCATTGTTACATCATTATCACATTACTTGATAACAATGTTACTTAATCACAATGTTACTTAAAACATGTGACACCACAACAAAGCCACTTTTTAGCGATGTTGCACAATATTATAAACATGTTGCTTTGTAACATTGTAACATCATTATCACTTACTAACTTAATAACTATGTTACCTAATCACCATGTTACTTTTAACATGTTACACTATAACAAAGCTACTTCATAACATTATTAATAACCATGTTACTTTATAACCATATTGTTTTGCTAGACATCCTGAAGACAGGACCACACAAAGTAACCATTGCTGTCTTTTGTGGATACTTGATACTGCATACAAAAGAAGGGTATATCTGAATACAGGAAACTAATATTGATGACACTACAGCATACATACTGATTTCATATCCGAACTAATAAATAATTTGAATAGCTTTTATGATTATGAAGTAGCTTATTGAATATACTTTGTAGAATCATCAAAAATCATTAAAAAACTGGATGGTGTCCAAACCACCATATTTTCTTTCCAATACGCTAAATGCGATTATGCTGAAAAGGGAGTACCATCGAAACAATGATACTTCAAACAGGGAGTAAAACACTAAGATGATGAAAATACACCAGAATGCCACCACTTTATAAAGATATCTCCTCACAGACTCTTCACTATAAGTTTCTACTGTGTCGTAGATCATATCTTTGGCTTGTTTCTCAAAGGGAGAGAACTCTCTTTTTTCATAATACAAGCGGAGCTGTTCTTCTTTTTCGGACCAGCGATTTTGACACCAGTTGACGAGGCCTTCGGACGAGGTAGGGAAATCAACAACTGGCGTGGAATTCACATGGAAATGTATTTCTTCGGGGAAATTCCCAGTAAATACATCAAATTCCCCAATGGGCATTGTTTTGGGATATGCAACACTAATGTTGAGAACAGAATCGAGAAGTTTTTCTGAAAAAATGAGAAAATATAGAAAGGTTAGAAATTGTTTAATAACATAATCAGTGTCAAACTCTATTCAATGATAAAAAGGAGAGTAATTAAGTTAATAGTCATCAGGGATGCACATTGATCGAGCGGTCTTCTAGCAAGAATAGTGGTTACATAAAACACTAGGATCTCTGAAATTCAAAAACAAATGATTCAGGGTTGTGATTCTCCTGCAAAAAGAAAGAATATCAACTTACAAACTGTCGACTGCATGGGCGTTCAGACATTTCTGAACAAGGCCACTGTGCACGATATTTTCGACAAATAAGCCAGTTAAACAATGTTTCAGACTGTAAATTATTATGCTGGTCTTAAATAAGATGTGAGTTTGATATTAAAAAATGATTGTTACAAATAAAGAGAGTGTTTGAAAGAAATAGAAAACCAATTTCCATTTTAAAAAATCATGTTTCACTGTTATTTTTTACTAAGTTTTCTTAGAATGATAATAACTTCTGTGAAAACAGGATATACCAAATTAGGCAACAGGATACACCAAATACAGATACGATCAACCATAATGGGTCAAGTGTTAAACAAGTTAGCAGAATCTTACTTGGGAAAAATCTCATGATAAATGGCAGCCTTTTGATGAGCACAGCCTATATGTAGTGTGAGTGCAGTCAAAAGTACATCTGGCTTAGATTAAATTTTTCCTTTGTTCCACAATTTACTTCTGGAAACCATGATGTGGGAAGTCAAGTTGTGTCAGATGTTTATGTGATGATAAATTAATGTAGCCAATTTAGGGAGTGGTCATTTATTATAGGGATGGGTGGGAATCAGGGGAGGGTCACCCAAAAAATATGAGTCTCCAGGGGTAGGTCCTAAAAAAATATTTGGGGAGCATCCTGAAAAATTGGACACATTATAATATAATATAAAGTGCTTTTGCATTTTGCCTTAACAAGGACATGGGGAGAGTGTTCCAAATATATGACAAGCAATACGGAAGGGTTATTATTTCTATCAAAACCTTTGAAACACCTACATCCCCTTCGTAAAAAAAGGACGGACGCTAAGGAAATTTAATTTGGTCCTGTATTGAAACAAATGTGCAAGAGTCCAGTTTTGACAGATTCATCATCCAGGACACAGTATCATGTTCATATTTTACTCACTGAGCAATAATGCTGAGGGAACACACAAAAATATAAAAAAGGGATCCTTATTATCAACCTATTTCACTTCAGTTTCTTTAATTCTTAATTACAACGTATAAATAATGTTCTATGAAATTGACTACAAACATTTCTTTTTCCCAACATGCACATCTCTTTTGCAATGTGTCAATTTGGTGCGGTTGTTAACAAGTTAACCTAGTACAATAGAGCACTCAGCAAACACCTTATATTGCCATTTGCTGTTAAGTTTTTAAAAAATCTGAATGATTTTTATCTATCTCTGAAAATGTACTCTCAATACAGACCCATTGGCATGAATACAAACCTTCTTTCATCTGCTGGACGAGAAACACAAAGCCCGTTGTTCGAGGGTGAAGGACGTATCTATATTTAGGGAAGCCATTCTTCTCTGCAAACTTGTCACTCTTTGACAGAGTATTTGCAGTGAAGTCGGTACCCTCAGGAAACAACAGAAACTGAAAAAACATACCCTTTTTTATAGATCTGCCATTCTTTCTGGATTGTTTAAATAAAGGATGTTGAAGATGAAAGACGTCCGTCCATCCATATTGAGATATGTATAAATCCATTTCAAAGGACAGCTCACAATGACATATACATTGGCCAAATCGCATTGCAATAAACTGACATTTAAAAAAAAAACACCTTAAAATTGTATTATGGTTATGAATCTTCTCCAAAAATAATACTCTCACAAACTTTATCATGTTTACCATAGAAATAAATCAGAGCAGTGAATTTGCTACTTTACTACAAAGAAAATTCTTTTGTTTTTATGCTGGTATTACCAGCCATATCAAAGCCAGGGACACCAATAGCATTTGCTTTACACATTGTGCTCATGTGGAGAACTGGACCATGGTCTGATGAGTGAACGATATTAATGCTTTAACCTCACTGGCCCCTAATACTCTAGAAAATGTACAAAGTAAACGGTCTTCACCTGTAACCTGTAGTTAACCTTGCGGAAGTATTTCAGTGCTGCAGTGATGACTGGCTGGTCTACTTCCCACCGCCGCTTTAAGAACAGGAACGCCGCACCCTGCATAGCCCAGCCTGAGGAACAGATGACATGTCACTGATTGGTAGATATCTTATTGAACATTGAGTTGCACCAAGTGCAGTCCCTTACAAAACCCAGGAATGCCGTGCTCTGCATCGCCCAGCCTGAGGAACAGATGACATGTCACTGGACAGTGAGTTGCTTCAAGAACAGGAAAGCAGCACTCTCCATCACCCAGTCTGAGGAACACATAAAATGGCATTGATTGGTACATATTTATTGAACATTGAGCTCAATCGAGAATAGTTACTTCAAGTACACAAAAGCTGCCCTCTGAATCGCCTGGCCTGAGGACCAGAAGAAGTAGCATTGATGAGTATATACTCTAGTTGCCGTAAGCAACACAGAACTTTCCATCTCCCAATCTAAGGAACACACAAATGTCTTGCAAACTCAATATGAATAGTTATTTTAAGTTCTTTCTTCTTATTATTTCACTTCACAGTTTTGCTCGAAATGTCTTGTCAAAATAAAAAGATGCTGTGAAGGCCACTACTGCTGACAAATATCTGATTACCAATCAGATTCAAGCATTCTCCCAATTCATGGTAGAATGAGATGTGATCCATACATTATGCCCAAGCTGTTACCATGGTTACAGGAACCTACCTGGTCCCGGGACAAACTTGAGCTGGTCCTTGAGTGAGATCTTGTAATGCCTGAGGGAGCCGCATCGGAGCTGGTAGGACATGAGGAACAGCCAGTCAAGTCGTGTGCGATGGTTCATCAAGATCAGCACACTGTCTGTTGGCTTGGAAGGTCGACCTTGGACCTTGATCTTTACCCCCAGCATCAACTCATACATGGCCTGGTGGAGAGACGCATGGTGATCAGAACATAAATCAACTTCCTTTCAAATCATTACTTGTTTTTGTCAGCTCAAGGTACTTCAATGTATAAAGTTTAAAACTGATGCATGTTTAAAATCTTACATGTTCAACAACTGAATATAGGGTTGGTGATATATTTTGCTGAAGGTTTGCTAAAGTGTGTCCAGTGGTGGTGGTTGCAGCGACACACAGATGATGGTTTGGTCAGAACCACAAAGTCCATGGTTGAGTCCTACGTCACACAGACCATGGTTGAATATGGGTCACATACCATTTTGTTTGTTTGTCTGTTTGTTTGTTGTTTAACGCCAGACTCATCATCAATATTCAAGCTATATGATGGTGGTCTGTAAAATAATTGAGTCTGGGCCAGACAATCCAGTTATTAACTACATGAGCATCGATCCACGCAATTGGCATACGATGACATGCATCAACAAAGTCAGAGAGTCTAACCACCCGATCCCGTCACCTCTTACTACAAGTATAGCCGCCTTTTATGGCAAGCATGGGTTGCTGAAGACCTATTCTACTCTGGATCTTCACAGGTCACATAGCATTGTCGTATCAATGGACCATATAGACCATGGCTGAGTCCGGGTCACACAGACCATGGCTAAGGACACATGGTTTTGAAACAGATCAAGCTGATTTTGTTGAGCAATTTGTAACCATGGATGAGGTTTGAGGTCTCCAATAGGAGACTAAAATACAGTCAAAGCAGTGCACACATCTAATGTCTCCTCCAAAGAAGACAGCAAAATCTGTTCCATCAGTTCCGAATGAATCCTGGATGACTACCTCTTGACAGGTGAGACCCTTAATGGCCAATATTATGCTTATCTGCTTAGGCAACTGCGCAAAAATATCAAGGCAGTTGTAGGAATTGAGCGAGTGAGTGAGTTCGGTTTAACACCGTTTTTAACAGTATTCCCGTTATATCGCGGCATGTCAGCTTAATGTGAGAGGAAAGCCCGAAGTGATGCAGGTCTCAGATGTTTACCACTTCGGTGAAACCCACTAGCATGGGTACGGTGCTGATAAACCTAGAAACATAATCAGAGCGAACCGGGATTCGAACCCACAATCATAGGTTTCTGGCGAGCCCAAGGGACGCAACTCCGCACAGTGAATCACGGCACCTTAGACACCTGGGCCACTTGCGCCCACCAGTTGTAGGAAAACTCCTCAAGTCTACAAGTCTGTTGTTGCCATGGCTGCAATGCATGACCGTGATTTTCAAACTCATTAAACATCCTACATATGCATCATGTTCATCAGATTTGGCAATCTAGACACTCTGTTATTGTTGGCAGAAGTGTGTGGACCTCAGAGGGGATTATGTTGAAAAATAATTTGCAAGCAACTCAGTTCATCACAGTCATGATAGTTAGGTTCAGCACTTTTCAGCCACTCCTTATAACTCAAAAAGTGCATTTTATTGCAGGATAAAGCAATTGGTGCCTTTGATCTTTTAGCGAGCATGTTAATGCATAGAAATTGTGTGGCAACATCTGTGAGCATGATAAATGAAATCAATTGAAACGCCCCACTTTGAGCATGGCAAAAATATATACCGTATTCACTGTATAAAGCAATCCGCTCCAAAGAGCACCAATCTGTAAGTATACCTGATAAGCACCCCATACTAAGCAGAAAACACAGCAGTGTAGAAGGGCTAGGAAATTGCCTTATAAGTAGCTATTGTAAAAAAAATAGTTTGTTCTGTACAGCACGATCTCTGCCAACAAATTTAACTTGAGCATGGTCTTAACTTTTTGTGAATCTTCTAATTGCCCAGGACACTTACCATGAATTACTACCATGACTACAACAAATATGTTAAGTGAAAAACTATCTCAGACATACACTCTGAGCATGGTAGGGAGGCATTTGAATGTTGGCACTCTCATGAAGCTTGGGTCACCAGATTTAATTTTTGTTAATCATGATGTTGATGAATCACATTTCATATACAGATTAACTGGTTGTTGCTTCACCAAGTTGAAGTGTATCTTAGGTGTATAAACGGAATAGTAACTTTGGTAATACATTACCAGTGTCTATAGTCTAGCTGTGTGATTCACTGCCACCCAAACTCCATGATAAAAGCAGGAACATTTGAGTGATACATAAAATCAGTGGTCTGAGAAACAGCCATAGCCCCTACATGCCCTAACACTGAAACAGCTCTGTCCTATCTGTTAATGGAATGTCCTGGTGTTTCTCAATTAGAATCATGGTCATGAAATACACCGTCTGACCTGGTGTAAATGTCTACTGGAGTACTTGGTGAGTTCCTCTGCCTACTGCACACTGCATGGTAAACAAGTTTTGAACAATCATACAACCACACTGTCACATCTGCATGGTCTAACAACAAGCTAGATATTCTTATTTTATTATCATGATTATGTTCACAGATTCATTTACCTGTTTACAGCATATAAACAAAAAAATCCCTTAAATATTGAATATAACTAGTTTGATTTCTAACATTTTTCATATTACATTTCAATTAAATCATGTTAATGTCCCTGTTAAAAAAAAAACATTTGTGAATGTCAGAAAAGGGTGATATTATATATTATATATAAATTGTCATGATTGTAGTATATGTAGACTTGTAACAATTATTTTCAATATATCTGCTGCTTCTGAACTTTTCACAATTGTGAATTCATGCTTACCTTGTAATGTCAGAGAGAAAGTGAGATGTCTTGCTATTTTAAACAGGTATATTAAATTCATTACCATCTTTCATGTTTATGCATATCAACAGCATGGATCAGTGTGACAGATGTAGCAGACAAGGTGGATCATGTCATTATATGTGTCTTGTCTATGGTAAGTGAACAATTCTTGTTATACCCACGCAATTGATGATTGACCCATCAAGATGCCCTGATTATCTTTGTAAAGTAATGATAATATTACATGGATAGAAATGTACTGTTTCAAGTGTGCCACACATCTTATCTAGGCAAGAGACTTAACTGACTTTAAAAGTCCAGTTTCCACCCTTGCCGAACTAGGCTGGAATTACTGGGCTCGATCAGAGCGCCATATGTCCCTTCTAAGCCTCTCCTATGGATCAATCAGATTCCACCTCTCGTATCACTTGCATTAGTTTCAAACAAAATGGCGGCACCCAGACAAGAATATCTAATCGATAATCAAGATCTATATTGTAATAAAACTAGTCTTACATCGCGAAGTGCATCAAATCATGTGAGCACCTTGGTTAAAAACATGAAAAGATTAAGAAAATATCTGTTGAGAACTAGTTGGCAGTGCACATGCTTTGTCAATCATGCCATCGACCAAAATCTGCACGACAGTTTTTTAATTACGGGTTTTGATTTCGTTACGCGACTTTGATTGGAATGTCCATAGACTCGTTAGTCCAGCCAAAACGTACCTCCATAATACCAGCCTAGTTAGGCAAGGATGGATACTGGACTTTCATAGTCAGTTAACTCCCTAGCCTCGGGAAGATGGTGCCATAGGGCACCAGGGCTTTATGTGAAGCACAAATGTGTGTCTAGCATGCACACATGTTGAGATTTGGACACAGAACAAGAATATACAGTCTCACTCAGGATGCATAATACTTATTGACATACAGCACAGTCATTTCACCAATCAATCATGACCACTATCCATATGATCTCTGAAGTAATTGTCAAAATGAACAGTACACTACACCATTTCATTACTTTACCTGACCCTAATATTGCCTACAAGGACTCATACAGGGAGACTACTCTCGGGCTTCTATTTGGGTTGCCAACGGTGCCCGCAAGGGCTCACTAGCTGCTGTGAGTTGATTTGGTCGCTAACGCTAACTAAGATACCTGCAGCATTTTTTATTTCAGAATGCATGGATAATGCGATTGCTACTCCCTTGTTGTCATCCATGTTTCCTGGCATAACCCTACACCTCTGTATTTGTCGTCATTCACTTGATGCTCAGTTAATCAATATATTACAGGTATAATTAGGGGTATCATCACTCAGATTAACTGACATAGGTTAACATTCGGCATTTCTTGTATCTGAGGTAATTATCCAATCTAAATCCAGGTCTGAAGTGGAGTGAAATGTATGTTATGTAATTATTACGTGATAGCACAGCAAGAGAGGAATGATCAGCTGAGTTACAAAAGGAAACATCCATCAAAGGATTAACTGAAAATATGTTGATTGATTAATCACTGTTATCTTGCACAGTTGATTTGTCTAAGTAAGTGTTTACATGTGTAAGGTTTACGAAAGCAGACGGAATACACCCATATCTGGGCATAAAGTGCCTAAGTGAAACAACATACCTTGTTCAAAGGATCAGCCGATAATAAGTTGAGTTATAATATTCAGAAACGCTATATATATTTTAAAATATTAGATTGCTATTAAGACATGTGACATCAAACAAGTTTCTTTGTACAGGTGCAGATGTACGGAATATTGTTCCTTTATGTGGATATTCATGGATTCATTCTTCCAACAAGGTAATTGACTAATATTATACATATAACTTTGGTTGGTTGTAATTACGATATTTGCATTTTATTTTCATTCATTTGCTGTAGCATTGAACAGAATCATTCTTGTTCCTCTATGTTTTCATTGGGAAGTTCTTCAACATTGTTCAATGCGAGATGTTGGTAACTGAGGGCTGGGAGCGCCCCAAGAGAGGAAGAGGCATATTTTGGGTTCTGTGTTATAAGATCGAAGTCCAGACGGGAAGTTTCAATGTGTTGTGACAGGATAAGAAATAATCAAATATTTCTACCCCTGAATGTATCTAAAAGTTACATCTGACGATATAATACACACCACACGAAGTTCACCAACCCAAGTACTGAATCATGTCATAGGACTTTTCTGAATTTCAAAAAGTAATATTCATGAAGTTTTGCAATGACCCAGCCTGAAAACTACTTGGTCTAGTGTTACGTTACTCCCACAACTAAGCAAAAAATGCTAAATCTTATTGCATAAAACTATGAGAACAAGCCTGAATTAAACTGTGATGCAAGTTAAAAACATGTTAAATGCTAACTGCTAACTCATGTTGGCGATCATGGCCTAGAACACGAAGACTTTCACAAAATAACAAGTTTGTGACATGTATCGTAATGTGATTCAAGTGAAGCAATATGTATTATTGCAGCATGTATTGATACATAAAGGTGTATTGTGACCCAATTATAAAGAATATTATTTGGAAAATACAAAAATAACAAATTTGACAAAATCTCAGTGCCACTGCAAATGTTTGACTAACACTCTTTGATTCACATTTCTTACATTACATGTTTAATGCAACCTGAGTCATGGGATTTCCGAGTTAGGATATGTCCACAGCAGTGTATGCTGGTCATACAAGACGTAATGGATCAGGTGGTCAGGCTCAGTGACTTGGTTGATGGTGTGTCAACCTGCCCCGAGGGTGTGGATCATTGTTCATAATATCAATCACTGGACTGTCTGGCCCAGGCTCAATTATGTACAGGCTGCCATCATATAGCTGGAATATTACTCAGAGCAGAGGTTAACTTGGTGATGACAGGTGAACATCCAACCAAAAACAGACTATAACGTATATCCATATCTGCTTATTGTCCTATGGCAGACTGACCTTTGTTGTTTTCAAGACAATTGGCACAGTGCAGTTAAACCTGTGGTAACAGTCCACCACATGGGCAATATGCTCAATATGCTCAAAAGGTATCCAGTTTCCCTATAAGCTTACATGAACTTTCAGCTTAGGTGAGCTCATAAATCGACACATTAAACACTGCAGTAATCCCAGCAAAGCTGCTTTTATTACTTAGACTGTTGAGACACTTAGGGAATAGAGATGATAGGTTTTCAATCACTCTGGATAGTTACTTATTAGATCTCTTTCACCTTACAAACTCAAGGTGTTGTTGTCTTCATGTTTATCCCAAATAAAATAACCCTTCACAGTCTGGTCCTGTGAAGATGCCCAGCATACATGTCATGGTGAGCAATGATTACCCAAACTGAAAGTAACTAAGAATGAACAAGGCAAAAAGTGAGCAGGGCTCATTAGTACCTCCAATTTCGATTCCAACATATTTCTAACTTCAAAACAAGAAAAAAAGCAATATTTTTTCAGAAAATCCACTTATGGAAATCAAACTTTGCAATGCATCTCTCCTATTGGTATATAAACTGTACCCCTAATTGGAAAAGAATCCATTAAGCAGTTTTATTGTTATAGGTCACACTAATGTTGAAGTAAAAAAAAAAGAAAAAATCTAGGTCCAAAACATGAAAAAAATCACATTTTGTCAGAAAATACACATATCAAACTCAAACTTTGCACTGCACTTCTATTGGTATAGAAAGTGTTCTTTAAATTTGAAAAGAATCCGTGTAGTAGTTCTCAAGTTATAGGTCGCACAAATGTTGTTGTGAAAACAACTCTTTCTAAATTCAAAACATAAGGAAAAATTCCTATTTTCTCAGAATATGCAGAAAATCCACATATCAAACTCAAACTTTGCACTGCACCTCATCTATTAATATGGAAACTGGTCCCTTAATTTGTAAAGAATACACAAAATAGTTTTCAAGTAAAATATCGCACAAACATGACAAATGGTAAGTAAAAACATTCTGTTAACATGGTTAAAGTAAAACAAAATGAACACTCATGATGATGCACATTCAACATACTTCCTGAATCAGTGCATCTCAAATTTCAAAATGAAATGGCTGTGTTCTGGGCATCTAAGTCTTTTAAAATATGGATGTTGTAGACAAGGTAGAGGCCATTTGTGAAGCAGGATCAGAACTCTGTGCAATTTGCTTCATGATCATCCACTTTACCATCTCTTGCCTTCCATCCCTTACACTCAGGATGTTCAACATGTTTGTTCAGAGGAGATACAAGGAAGCATTTTATCCAAGATTGGACAGTTTCATTTCATTATTCAGAGAATAAGTAACAAGCTTCAAGTCTGAGGTATTACAGATTATTTGCCCTGAATTAATTAACACAAACATCAGTTTGTAACATTGACTGAGGGATTGAAATATAATATATAACTAAGTGGGTGGCTAAAACCAACAAAACTTAGAAATACTAAGGATGACGAACACACAGTCCTTGTCGTACTACAACTGTTAAAAGACAATAATTTAGACAATTCTTATACCACATCGAAGAACCTCCATTTAGTCTTGATTTTAGTTATGTAAGAAAAGGGAGAAATTAAGGTCTATTTGTGATCACATGTTGTGATGTCCATGATCATGATGATATCAGCTGATTTTCTTTATCTCTACCCTTGTCTATGTACGTATAAATGCATACATGCATGAGATCATGAGCATGATGAGGAAATATGAGAGAATATGGATAAGTATGCCTAGATCTATCTACATATGCTTGACACATGGCATTTACAATTCTGTTCATTCCAGAACATTCACAAGACTTAATCAAAATTATCATTACACAGATGTACCCCTCTGACCACAATACATTTATATGATGCTAACAATAGAGCAGAAAATTCTGGACAATCATCAATGTAAGTTAATGAAGACACAATGCTAGCGTGATTTGGCGGATGATCAGTGTACGCCGCGTTTATCACGAACTTACAGGCACATGCAAACGAACACTCACTTACCACTGCAAATGAGAACCACATGTACAGGAAAAAATCCAGAATACTCCTTGCCCATTTTGGCTTCAGTATTATCAAGGGAAGGAATGGCATCAAAAGCACTATGGAGCCAAAAAAGCTTGAAAAATACAGAACTGTTGTGAACACGATTCCTCCCGCTAGATTCCTCGCTCCCGGCATGGCTACTGTTTCTCGATTCACCAGCAGACTTCAAACGGAAACAGGATGTCAATTTGAACGAACATTAAGTCATGCTGTCAACAATCATGCGTTGTAGGTAATCGTTGTCATCTTTGCAATAGTGAATTGTTGATATTTCAAATCATATTTGCAGCCTACACAACCATCGACCCTTCCATTGATTTTAAAACAACGAGGTTAGGAAATAAGAGTGACCTCCCCTTGCCCTGCATATTTAGCAAGATGCAGATTAGATCAGGGCTGGGCAAGGCTATCTGATTTCGGCGTTCACATGACTGATGAAGCCTTAATCGGTATTAAGGTTGACAGTGATTTGTAACAACGGGTGTATATCTAAATAGCCATTGTTAATTGAAAATAGTCGAACATAGATTATTTTAATTTCGTCATCTTTTTCAATATGATCTTCAACATGTTCGTGTGATCACATGTTTTTTACTAATGTGTTTTATTAGTTCCGTTGGTGCAATTATATTCATACAAGTAACATAGCCGCATTATACATGTACTGCATCGAACTTTACGTTTGTTGAATGTGACAGCAAGGACATTATAACATGAAGGACCATGCACTTTGTTTTAATGGATTTCTTAAATATGAACATATAAATCACAAGGGATATGTATGGGGATTTAATTTATCAATAAATTTTCACCATTTCACGTTGTATTATTTCTTCTGGCAATACATTCTCCGACATAAAATTTGGCGACGCAAGGCTTTGATCCTTTTATACTCATAACATGAGTGAGTATGGTATTACGCCGCTTTTAGCAATATTCCAGCAATATCACGGCGGGGGGACACCAGAAATGGGCTTCACACATTGTACCCATGTCGGGGAATCGAACCCGGGTCTTCGACGTGACGAGTGAACGCTTTAACCACTAAGCTACCCGACCGCCCCTATACTCATAACATAAATGTGTCTTTTTGCTACTATTACTCTATTTTCCTTATCGTCCCAGGTTAAAATACTTTTCTTCCTTGTCGATGTACCATTCGCAAAATAGATTAATTAACTAGTGGAATTTACTGTGATTTGTGTGTTTTGCCTTTTTTGCTTTCCGAAAGAATGTTTGAGGATGTCATCATATTTACAATTAAGGTTTTGGGGATAGGATTTGAATGACGCAAAACCCAACGAACAAAGTATACCATATCGATACTAAGAAGTGCGCAATCTGTGACGAAATCCATAAGAAAAGTCATTATACATACCCGGTAAATTAAAATCTCTCAAGGCCAAGCTGAAGATATTACATTGTATATATCCCAGTATTTCATTCATATGTATATAATAAAATATATTATACATGGTAAACTATATAAACTAGTGTCCAAAAGAAACGATACCACCTGTTTGCAACGACATAAAAGAAAAACTAAACAATGCAGAAGTTTAGGATTGGTGTTATGCTTTTGAGAAAACCTTTCACAACATCTGTACAAAAATTTCATTTCAATAAAATCTGTACAACTAATATGACAAGCCTTTAAAGATGGGTGGGGTCAAAAATGAACATTTCGTTAGAGCACTGATCACAGAAACAACGGGAAATGTCACACCACACGTCTCAAAGTCAAGTCAGTAGCGGGTATGTCCACCGTGAGCATCAATACATGCCAGAACACGCCTACGGACTGATGACGTCAAACGTCTGATGACGTTGGGAGTGATGCGTTGCCATTCCTCGAGGAGACATCGTTCCAAGTCCTGGACGTTGACTGGAGGCACACGGCGACGTCGGATTTGCCGATCGAGGTGGTCCCATAAGTGCTCGATGGGATTCATGTCCGGTGAACATGCGGGCCATGGCAAAACCTGTACGTTGGCGTTGGCAAGGAAGTTCTGTGTCAATCTTGCTGTGTGTGGCCTTGCATTGTCATGTTGGAAAAGGAGTCCACGAGGCTGTTGCTGAATAAAGGGCACCACAACAGGCCGTAGGATGTCATCAAGATAACGCTGTGCATTCAGGTTTCCACGAATTACGACAAGCATCGTTTTGACGTCATCACATATGCAACCCCAAACCATTAACTCTCCACCTCCAAACGGCCGGACCTGTTGGATACAGTTAGGCGCCAAACGTTCACCAAATCGTCGGTATACAAGCTGCCGTCCATCGTTTCTGAAGATGAGGAATCTGCTCTCATCAGAGAACATAACACGTGCCCAGTCCCGCCGTTGCCAACGTCGAACTCGCCTGGCCCAGATCAGTCTGTTGTTCCGTTGTCGAGGCGTCAGGAGCGGTCCGCGGTAGGGATGACGTGGCCGGTTACCATACTGCCGTAGTCTCCTGTAGACGGTCTGTCGACTGATCCTGTGTCCCAGTGCTGTAGCCGCCGTGGACGTCGCTGTTACGGTGCGGTTCCTCAGGTGTAATACCCGGATGTAACGATCTTCACGGGGCGTGGTTACTCGTGGTCTTCCACTCCTGGGCCTGTCTGACGTCTGACCTGTCTGACGTAACCGCTGCATCAACCTGGTGATAGTGATGCGTGCGCAGCCCAACCTTCTGGCGACGTCGACGTGTGACGCTACTTGTTGGACCATTCCAACGGCTCTCTCTCTCTCTCGATGGCTGTCATACGTGGCATATCTTGTGTTCTTTTTGTTGCTGTGATATCAACGTGTCTGATCAGCCGTTTTATACAGTTTTTATGCACGTGCAGAACATGCTATAGAGGGAAATGTCACTTTCACGAAATTTACGTTTTTTCCCGGAAGTGATCACGTGTTCCCGGTATTTTTTATCGACTATGCTGTGTTTGGGATGTGCAATACGAATTGGCATGTTTTCATACTTGACAATTCACTTAGTAAAAAACAATTTTGAAAATAAGTTGGTATCGTTTCTTTTGGACACTAGTTTATATATTTTTACGAATTTCACTGCCGACTCCTGCTGTTAGAATAAATTTACTGTACATTACAAGTGCCAGTCAAAACGGACCTGCAGTAACTTAGTTTTGGTCAAGACGAACACAGTGATTTGGGTTGAGTCAAAACGTACACGGTGTTGTAAAAACGGAAAGAAGAAATATCAAATGAAAAGAAAGACTATATACTCATTGGTTTCGACCTTTATTTTTATTCGTCTTTACATTGCCATATGTTGACATAAATCCATCCCTATACGATGCTTCGCACATACAATGCACCCACACACAGCCTTCATGCTATTGTCACACGTGTCCATTTCACGTACTGACGCATTCACACACACACACACACACTAACACACGAACACACGTCCTTGAGGTTCATTGTCGGAAGAACACTGCAACACTGATCATCCGAGAAGAACACTGAAGAAGTGATCAACCGGGAAGAACTGATGACTCCTTGATAAGGATGTCTCTTTTCGTGCGACAGTACAAATTGTTGCAATCTGCCGAACACAAATCCACGGATTATAAAAAAAAATTGAGCCAACATGCAAACAATTCCCAACTGAGTAATGCTTATAGTATTAATGTGCAAATGTGTGAGGAAAGTTCAGTTGACAATAGTCGTCAGTGGGAGTTAAATCTGTTTAGAACTGTTCGGGCCACCCTGGAATGTTTTCAGTTACACATGATTGCAGAGTTGCAACCCTTATGTATGGACCTCTGAAGATTCTGGTTGAGAAAGGTCTTCATCAACCCATGCTTGTCAAAAGACGCGACTATGCTTATCGTAAGAGGCGACTAGCGGGGTCACGTCAGGCTCGCTGACTAGGATGATGCATGTCATGATATCCCAATTGCGTAAATCAATGCTCATGATGTCAATCACAGAATTGTCTGGTCCAGACTCGATTATTTACAGACCGCTATCATATAGCTGGAATATTGCCTGGTGCGGCGTTAAACAACAAACACACATTCACTCACTCACTCACTGGCTAAAAGGTAGAATAAAGCCACTCAGTCACTCATGACTGGCTACAGGGTAGACTGAAGCCACTCACTCACCCTCTGGTTACAAGGTACATTCAATTAATCCACTCACTCACTTGCTTGATACGAATTGAAGTCGCTCACTCAGAAGCTGACTTGAATTCAAATGACTTAATTGATATGGCGTATCGCCGAAAGAGATATATGTTGATGATACACAGTGATTATACTATCACGGAATGATGGCCGCTTAGTGGATAGCGTATCATAAAATGATAGCGATATTAAACAGTGGTTATCGTATCATTGAGTTATATTGGTGTTAACCTGTGAGTGATGTAGGTCACACCGTGGTTATGTTATCGTTGAATGATACCAGTATATATGATCAACAGTGCATATCGTATCGTTGAATGATGTAGGCGATAAACAGTGGTTACCGTGTCGTTGAATGACGTAGACGATAAAAATGTTATCGTATTATTTTACTGATAGGGGTGATATACCGTGGTTATCGAATCATTGAATGGTGTAGACGATAAACAGTTATTATCGTATGCATTGAATGAGGTAGGGGATTAAAAATAGTTATCATGTGGTTGAATGGTGTAAGACAAACATTAGCACTACTATCATTGAGTTGAGTTTAAAGCCGCTTTGAACAGTATTCCAGTTATATCACGACGTGTCAGATTGATCTGGGATGAAAGCCCGAAGTTATGCAGGCATTAGAGATTTACCACATTGGTGAAACCCAGGAGAAGCGGTGTGGTGCTGGCAAACCTAGAAACAATATCATTGAATGATGTTGTGGGTGGTAATCGTATTGAATGTAGGCGATAAACCGTAGTTATCGTATCACTGAATTGTTGACATCATCCACCTCGTGGTGATTCCTCGTTACAACAGGTCTGTAAATAATCGCTTCCTTGATGATGAAAATGTTGTTGGTTTAACGAGTGCTTCCGTCTGACCCGATATCGCACTCGGGTTTTTCCTTCCGCTAGATTTTAAAAGCGTCTAAGCATTTGAACACATATCATATATGAAATCTGTTTTTAGTTCATTGGAGTGTCTTGTTGCCTTCCACGAATGCATGTATTTGGCGTGAGTGAATCATGAATACTGCTAACCTCCATTTCATGGTTAATAATCTCTAGTGACCTTGATTCCGGCCAAATATTATGAAACACGATTTAGTGACTATAATTTATAATCTATAATTTTCATTAAACGCTTTATCTCTATACAAGTTCAGTTTAATCTTATTTAAAGCTTATTTCCATCGAAATGTAAAATGTATGTGTCAAAAAGCACCACAAGATCACTAGATCAATACTTCACGGAGGTGTTATAAACAGGTGTTGAGTAGGGCTCCAGAAACGACATCACTAACAGTCAAGATTGGTATGGATTGCATGGACGCATACATATGAAATAAAAACACAAACATGCCAAACGATTTGTTTGTTTGTTTGTTTGTTGTTTAACGTCGCACTCAGCAATATTCCAGCTACATGACGTGAGTCTGTAAATAATCGAGTCTGGACCAGACAATCCAGTAATTGAAATCATGAGCATCGATCCACGCAATTAGGATATGATGACATGCATCAGCCAAGTCAGCGAGCCTGACCACCCGATCGTATTGTGCAAATGTTCAGACAATATCTTGAGGATATTCTAGTTCCTGACGGACCCTGCCCATACTTTAATAGTGTTTAATGGATGGTATATGAAAACTCCATGAACTCGAACTCATCTGAACCATATAGACATACGTCGAGTTATCCATACTTCGAGCGAAGTGTCAGTTAAAACATAGCACAGATGAAGTTTTACAGAACCAAGTTACATTGTCTTAAACGAGGTATCGAATAAAAGAACAAAGAAATAGTGTTCTTAATATATATATATATATATATAGTCTGGCAACCTATGAGTCATCTGGCTCCAGCAGAAGTAAGAATACATTGTCGTTTATATCTAGAACGATCCCAGCTTTAAGTAGCGTTTATCTTGTTTTTCCTGCAAAGCCCAAAATAATGAAATTCTAAATGGAGAAAGGCAACCGAGAGATTAAAACAAAACACGTCAAATGAAAACTATAAAAAAAACCAGTCTACCAGACATAGAAATACATACTACATTTTTAATTGGTTAGCGGGATTTGTTCTTGACATCCCTGCCTTGAAAAATGGAACTGTCTACGGATCCACTCGACCAGAAAATACAGTGACATCTGAAATCGTGATATATGGTCCATTTAACATGGCTACGATATAATTCATTCATCAGATGAGGTGTCATCGTATACCACCTTTTACTTTCACCATTATCTTTCCCTTGATTGCATTATGTCCCTTGGTTCCCTTGTTCCTACTTTGAAAGTAACGTATTTTCTCGCGTGACATCTGTCTGGGCTTCGGCCCACGCACAACACAGATCACAGTATCGATCCGTTACCGAGGCCACCACGAATGAAGAGAAGAGAAATAGAGGTTGGGTTAGAGAGGTGGGGATAGTGGGGTGGGGGCAAAGGGGGAGAGAGTGGACAGCAAGATAGTGATGGGCAGAGAAAGCGAGAAAGGGAAATAGGGAGAGAGCGAGAGTTGATGGGTAGCTGGAGACATGTTGTCAAAAGGCGGCAGAGGGAAGTTGAGAAGAGAATCTTTTTGTTCTAGACTGGCACAATGATGAAGCCAAGTCAGCTGCCCGGAACATAAAAAAAGTGTGATTTTATTCAATTGTTTTTATTTCATAAACGAATCAGGAAAATGTATATGCCCTCTACAATGAATTGAGCCAGCGAGGGATACGTTATTAACCACCTTGTGCTTGTCCTTCTGACCAACTATCTCAGCGATCACAGTAAATGTATCAGTATCTATTGGTCAGCGCCATGGCCGAGTTGATATGTCACATTAGCCCAATGCGTCAACCAATAAATATCAACATCAACACATCACCCACGGACAGGTAACTGCATTGCACTACACGGAAATAGTTTAAAACGCTTGAAACTTGGGAAAACCCCAAAATGAGTATACATGTCATATTTATCACATAATGTTGAAAGTGCTAAGCTGTGCATGAAAACATCCACCCACACATTCATCCAAACCCAGCTGCGTGGTTCCTCCACATGGACCGCCTGTAAGAAGGTTGGCTGTTGGGCGATGGACCATGGGCCACATGTCAGAAGGATGGCTCTTGGGCGAATGGACCATGGGCCACATGTCAGAAGGGTGGTTGTTGGGCAAATGGACCATGGCCCTCATATTACTGTTGGGCAAATGGACCATGGTCTCCATGTCAGAAGGATGGCTGGTGGGCGAATGGACCATGGGCCACAAGTCAGAAGGATGGTTGTTGGACAAATGGACTCTTCTGGGTTGTTTCCACTTTTACGCTGGCGAGGAGGGGAAGCCATTCCGATAGCGCTCCTTTCACGATTCAACAAAGTATCTTTGTGTCACCATTAATCTATGTTAAAGTAAGGGTTTTACGACAGGCTTAGTGCTATGGTTGCTTTGTGGAACGCGGTGGTTAAGGTTAAAAACAATCGAAGAGATCGAACAAAATGACAGCGATCCCTGTTAAACTGCTACGCGTAGATACATGTGTATATACATAGATGTGCACATCATAGGATAAGAACATTACAGGTGTTTAAGGGCAGTCAAGGTATTCTATCTTAAAGTAAACCAAGGGGTCAAAATGACCGCGTAAGGAAACCTTACTGAATTCGCGTCGTGTTACAGTTACACAACAATGTTGTTGCATTTTCATATTAACAGTGCATTTCAGTGCTGTTCAGGGAAGGTATTCAATGTGGCATTCACATTACAGCATACTAATACTGATGATGAAGCTTCATGTTCCACGTTTCACTGTAAGTTGATGACTTGGCGATTTCATGTTCAGTATTCACAGTACAGTTATGGCTGATGGCTTGAACGGTTCAGGACCACTAATTCCTATTTCAGATATGGCTGATGGCATGGCAAGTTCATGATCAATATTTCCTTGTTCAGGTATGGCTGTTGGTCTGGAAGTTCATGTTCAGTATATCACTGTTCCGTTACAACCGATGCGATGGCACACACACAGTTGAACTAGTTCATGACAAGTTCTTAACCTATTCACAGTCTATTTATGGCACGTGACCTTACAAGATCATGTATGCTCGGTACAATGGTCGAACAAGTTCGCGTTCAGTATTGACAGTTCAGTTCCAGCTGATTGTCAGTCAGTTATGACTGTTGTTCGAACAAGTTCACATTCGGTATTCACAGTTCAGTACTAGCTGATTGTCAACAAGTTCACGTTCGGTACTCACAGTTAAGTTATAGACGACTGTCAACAAGTTTTCGTTGATTATTCACAGTTCAGTTATAGCTGATGGTCAACAAGTTCACGTTCGCTATTCACAGTTCTGTACAGCTGATGGTCAACAAGTTTATGTTGATTATTCACAGTTCAGTCATAGCTGATGATCACGTTCAGTATTCAGTTTCATTTTAGCTGATGATCAGCTAACTGCAAGTTCACGTTGGTTATTCACAGTTCAGTCCACGTTCAATATTTACAATTCAACTAAAGCTGATGGTCAACAGGTTTACGTTCGGTTTTCACAGTTTAATTCAAGCTGAGTGTCAGCAAGGTCACGTTAAGTATTCACAGTTCAGTTATAGCTGTTGTCGGAATGAGGTCACGCTCTGTATTCAAAGTTGTTTTCGCTGATGGTCAAAGCAACAGCAAGTTCACGTTCGGTATTCACAGTTCAGTTCTAACTGATGGTCAACATGAACAGGTACGATATTCACAGTTCAGTTCTAACTGATGGTCAACATGAACAGGTACGGTATTCACAGTTCAGTTCTAACTGATGGTCAACATGAACAGGTACGGTATTTACAGTTCAGTTCTAACTGATGGTCAACAGGACCAGGTACGGTATTCACAGTTCAGTTTGAAGCTGATGGTCAACAAATTGCAGGTTCACGTTCGGGAGTCACAGCAAAAGTTCCTGTTTAACCTTCACACAGATGATTGATCACTAAGTACATACAATATAAGTGGTTTGTGTTAAGATATAACATGACCAGATGATGACCAGCTGATGACGAGTTGATAAGGAATAGATGATGGTGATATTGATGACAATCCAGATTCACACGAAGACGTTCCAGTAGAATAATTGGTTTATGTCCAGCATTATAAGATGAGCTTTTGTTTATGCCCCGCGCCTATTCGTTGTAATCCATTCGTTGACTCATGGCTCCGAAACATATTCATCACTTAAACGATTCCCGCAGACATTATAGTTGAAGGCTAGGCCTTTATGACTTCATCATGTTACAATTTGGTTGTGAACGATGGCTGAATCTGCTCTTGTCCAAGCATTCTGATCTGGGTTTCATCAACAGCAGACGCGTGGACGACTCCAGCCTGTCTTTGAGAATCCTCACAGCATGATCGGCAACCGCAGCAACATATACAGTGGAATCCTTTCTTAACAGCTGGCACAATCAGCCACAAAGAGGGCGTTATTGCAGCATTTGCGAACCCACAGTACTTGAGCAGGTCGGGGCAGGATTCTCTATTGAAAAAAGACATGATGGGAGAGCAATGTACTGGTAACCACATCGCAATGAAGAAGAGGGCCACCAGGGTACTTGCAGTGGTGTGACTCATCGGGTTTTCTAGGAATCTGTCACTGTAACGTCTCTTCAGCATACACATAATCACGACGTTCGCCCAACAAAACCCGAATACGAACGCAGATGGTAGCAGGAATCCGAACACTGTATAAATCCATTGTTCTGACATTCCCAACGTGCAACTGTCCTTCCTGTTTCCTTGCAAGAAATCCAATAACTGTTGCAAATCATTACTTGTGTAGAATAGAAGTAGCGTAAACGCTGGTCCCAAGATCCACGGAGAGAGCAACATCAGACAACCAAAGCAAGTATTGGCAACAACAATTGGAGACGTTAAGCTTAGAAATCTCTCAAACATCAGCATAAAGATGAGAAGGACCAGAATAACTGCTAAGGACAACTCTGTTACATGCCAGTATTTACAAACATCTGGAAGGTCTTTAAACAGTTCGATATCAAATCTGGCGGCAACGTGGAGCGGGATGACAGTGACACCTTGGATGAAGTGTACAATAGCTATGGACAGGATGAGCTTGAAGAAGAGCTTCCGTCTTGCCTCGGCGTCCTGAAAGATTGCGATGATGAGGAGGAGGTTCATTAGGACAATATAGGAAACGCAGGCGATGGTGACGCTCAGGAGCAAGATCCCCATCACTAATTCTTCTTTCATGGTGAACACCATGTTGGTATCTATCTGATCGCGTCCCTCTGTATGACGTGTCTGAAACATTCAACATCAGTCATAACATGTTTTGTTTGCCAAGTGACATTCTTTCTCGGCACTATTTTAATACTGGGCCACAAACGTGTGAGAAATGCCATCCCACAATAAAACTGAGATATGCATTCATCCTACTGTGAAAATTGCACAATAGTTGTGTACCATGTTCAGAGAAAACAGAGCATTTTATACACCACATGTACTTGATTTGCGTAAGTAAAATGGGGTCCACATGTAATCACTCATAATTTAACTTATGAGCATATATTTGCTATTGCATTAAGGGACAACCTTCTCATTATAACTCACATATATACCGAGGGAGATAGGAAGGGTTGACTTGTTTCGTGGACACCGAAACTTACCCAAGTTTACAATATATTGGTTTATCCAGCTGATGAACCAAAGGGTACTACTACTGCTACTATAATATAATCATATAATCCGGGTCAAGAGTAGATCCACACTGCTACTACTATGTAACAAACAAACCCCATTTCTCCTTCTACTACTACTACTACTACTACTACTACTACTACTTAATTGATGGACTACTAAGAAACAATAATTACTACTACTACTACTACTTAATTGATGGACTACTAAGAAACAATAATTAGGATGACTTGTCTCTGCTAATCCTGGTTTCGTAAACTGCAAGTAATTACTATTTAAAGTTAAACACTTATTTTTAAACTTGCTCGACTCCTTATGTTTGTAGATGAAAATATTCAACTAGTCAGGCGAAATAGAGGAAATATGACTAATACATTACTAGCCACGGAGTAAGACAGACAAACTTTTCAATTCGCAAGGTAGGTATAATGATACTCCGCTTTTATAAATATTCCAGGCATATTACGACAACGATAGTTGCTTGACAAGCCATCACTTTCACCACTAGGCAACCCCACCGTAGGCTTAAAACAATGTCTGAGGTGCGGTGGGATAGTCTAATGGTTAAAGAGTTGGTTAGTCACACCGAAGACACGGTTTCGATTCCCCACATGGTTACAGTGTGTGACACGTTATTCTGGTGTCTCCCCGGTGTGATATGGATGGAAAATTGCGAAAAGCTGCGTAGATGCCAACATACTCACACACATTAATATATATGCACCACGTGCCGGATGCAAAGACATAATCTAAATATGTCACATACACCTCCACTATCCTCTCCGCAGGTCATTGAAGAACGATGTTTTCTCCAGTTTATGTATCGATCCCTCAGTACCACAGCGCCAGTCAAAACGCAGTCGATACTTCTCCAAAATGGCGACCAAACGACATCAACAACATTCTACGCTGTAATTTCATGGCACATTTAGAGATACATCGCGTCAGTAAACCTACAGTTAAATCCTAATGCATTGACATACCGCAACGACATCCGAGGTTGAGTGCTGGCAGACATAACACGCATCACTGTTAGGTATTGGTTCGCATACAAGCGGGGGAAGTATTCACTTACAACAACTTGAGGGTCGAATTCCCGCAGATTCCACAACGGTAGCGGCAACGATGGTTGTAGCTAATGCCTTGAATGTGCACTGCTGAAAACGCCGGGTTCTTTACATAGACTGGCAGTTCGGTCCGTGGCTGCATCGAATTCCTCGGTAGCCTTTCGATAAGATATGCTACTCGTCGCTGGTTCTCCCCTTCACAACAGAGAGAGTTGGAGGCACGCTTGACTGCTGGCGACTGACGTAATGCGGGGTTCGTTCAGCAGACACTGGCACCGCCCACAATCCAGCGGTGTCGCTAGCTCAAAATTCACAGCACTGTGGAACATTATCTGTAATGATATGCATTGGTAAACATAGTCTAGGGCTCTTTCTTGAGCAAGTTTACCAGCGGCTGCATGGGTCCGACAGACAGAGCGCTCGGGTAGGGGCTGATATCTTGCTATCTAGTTATATGCGTGGGTGACATTGCAGGATTTGGCAGATAGAACAAGAGTACTTTTTTTTGCCTGTCTACACTTTGCTCGAGTTCAGAACATTACAGAGCCTTTTTTTTAAAAATCAGACCGAGGTTTTCGTCATGGCAGGCACACGTCGTTGTTGTTGTACTACGTAGTCAAGAATGTCACCGGGATCACATCCACCTGTAAATGAGCAGGTATGGGCCAGGCAACCCAGTGAATGATAACGTAAGCAACGTCCACACCGTCAAATACATCCTACTTTTGACAACAAAAAACAAACAAAAAAAACACTGTAAAAACACACACAATCATCACAAAATCCACACAAACATAAAAACACATACAGGAAAAAATAGCAATACAAACAAACAAGAAAACACCTTTTAAGAAAAAAATCCTTTCCTATGTTTTCTCAGAAGTCCCAAAACAGCAGTCTGCAACAAGCATATGTGTATCTTTGGAAGCTCTATAGACACGAATTTTCCCCTAATGAAAAGAAAAGTAATTCAAATTGCTCAAACGCACACAAAGCTCCGGCCAAGACTGCACCCTCATCACAAAGCCGCATCGGCAGTTGTCGATTTTGCACCGGTAATCTACTTCATATCACGTGACTAATACCCCCACCAGACCACGCTGATCAATAAGCCCGACATGCATAGCGCAAGGCAGTAAATGTATTTCCATGGAACTGTCAATAGTGACGTGGTCAATTTTTGACACGAAAATCACTAATTCCATTGAGACAGTCACACACCATAAATGTGAATATTGCATAGCTTCACACAGTGGTAACAGCAGTGTGGCGAGAAAAAGTGTAGCCCCAACGGTCCAAGACACCTCAATTCGCCAAGCATGCAGAGTTTCATCTCTTAGTTGTTGAGGCAACAGCTGATCAGGGATCCAAATCCTAGATATGCCAGTATCCATAGATTTGCTATGTCCTACATTGCCGGCATCATGCCCATGCTGGGTGGGCTTTAGCCAACTTGGTAACTAAACTTGAGAAGTGGTCTTCAGCAACCCATGCTTCTCGTAAGAGGCGACTATGCTTGTCGTAAGAGGCGACTATGCGTGTCGTAAGAGGCGACTAGGATCGGGCGGTCAGACTTGCTGACTTAGTTGATACATGTCATCGTATCCCAGTTCAGTAGTTTGATGATCATGATCACTGGATTGTCTGGATCAGACTCGATTATTTACAGATCGCTGTCATATAGCTGGAACAATCTCATTAAAACCAGACCTTAGTTCTCGATACCGCTGAACAAAGATCTGAAGACATCCCATAAGGGATCACATCAGAACGACGTTTCATCCGACTAATCAGAGCGTCGCTTACCAGATTATGAAAGTGACAGTCGGAATGTGATTTCTACCTCGAAAACTGTAACACGGGGTATTCTGAACGATAGTTACGGGTCTAACGACTGAATCCATGCAATCTAGATCATCTAATAGCCATTTCAGAATGTTCTTTTGTTCAGGTTTCAAATTTGTAGTCGAGAACTGTTCAAAATTTGTTTCGATGCGTAGTCGCAAATTTGAAATTGGTGCCGTAATGGTCGGTCAAAGTTCGCGCAAGGTCGGTCTGACGTGACCAGTATTGGGATGTCTTTAGATCTTTGTTTAGCGTAGCGAGAACTAAGATCTGATTTTAATGAGATTGATAGCTGGAATGGTGCTAAGTGCGGCGTTAAACAACATACATACATACCTCTGGCATTTCTCCTACTTTCACACTGTGACATAACTAACAATATGTTCAAAGTGGCGTTAATCTCAACTCACTCACTCATTATGTCCAGGGACAGTCACAGTACACTATAAAACGCATTCGTGACCAGCTAGTGTTATTCCGGGACAAGCCGAATAGCGACTTGTGCCCCTCTCGTGGCCATTTTTGCGCCCGGGTTCCGTCTTATCGCAAACGGGCTTACCTAAAACAACTGTCAACTCGTTGCGTAATGGTTCACACATTTCCCCCATATATTATATATATTTCATATGCAATTTAAAGCACATCGGGACGTGCGGAATTATGCAGAATGTTTGAACACATTTAACTGTGTCTTTGGTATAAAAATCAAAATCAAAAATTATTTCTGAGGGATTCTTTGACGAAGAACTTGAAATCATACGCGCATTCTGATTGGTTTGTCGCACATAACATTCATCGATAGGGGGGACGAGTCTTCTTGCAGGTTACGGAAAGGGGCGAGTTGTGACGAATGTATAAAATGGTGGTCTGTTGACAGAATGCAGGGGAGACGACCCTCACTCTAGTCCTGGCAGAGTGCATATCGTTGTACCTTACATAGACTAACATATAGTCTCTGAAATCTTTTATTGCACAATACATTTCTCTCCTCTAAAATTAAAACAAATGATTTTCTTGATGCTGATTATATAACAGAACTGGCTAGACTTGCTTTTATATAATTCTAGATTTTTTTGTTTCCATAAAATATACTGAACCGCAAAAGAAACGTCACTATGGATGGATATATGAGAAACCTTATTTTGCCAAACACTGTAAACATACTTTGAGACATTAAAAAGAATGGTGCTAAGTGCGGCGTTAAACAACATACATACATACCTCTGGCATTTCTCCTACTTTCACACTGTGACATAACTAACAATATGTTCAAAGTGGCGTTAATCTCAACTCACTCACTCATTATGTCCAGGGACAGTCACAGTACACTATAAAACGCATTCGTGACCAGCTAGTGTTATTCCGGGACAAGCCGAATAGCGACTTGTGCCCCTCTCGTGGCCATTTTTGCGCCCGGGTTCCGTCTTATCGCAAACGGGCTTACCTAAAACAACTGTCAACTCGTTGCGTAATGGTTCACACATTTCCCCCATATATTATATATATTTCATATGCAATTTAAAGCACATCGGGACGTGCGGAATTATGCAGAATGTTTGAACACATTTAACTGTGTCTTTGGTATAAAAATCAAAATCAAAAATTATTTCTGAGGGATTCTTTGACGAAGAACTTGAAATCATACGCGCATTCTGATTGGTTTGTCGCACATAACATTCATCGATAGGGGGGACGAGTCTTCTTGCAGGTTACGGAAAGGGGCGAGTTGTGACGAATGTATAAAATGGTGGTCTGTTGACAGAATGCAGGGGAGACGACCCTCACTCTAGTCCTGGCAGAGTGCATATCGTTGTACCTTACATAGACTAACATATAGTCTCTGAAATCTTTTATTGCACAATACATTTCTCTCCTCTAAAATTAAAACAAATGATTTTCTTGATGCTGATTATATAACAGAACTGGCTAGACTTGCTTTTATATAATTCTAGATTTTTTTGTTTCCATAAAATATACTGAACCGCAAAAGAAACGTCACTATGGATGGATATATGAGAAACCTTATTTTGCCAAACACTGTAAACATACTTTGAGACATTAAAAAGATGAAATTTGGCAAAACTGATAGTCAAGGGTGAAAGTAAAGTGTCAAATGTTCTTAAAGTGAAACACAACACTAGCCTCTGAGAAAATGACATCACAAGTCAGTATCTCGTATGTCCGCCATGTGCATTGATGACTGCCGTGCAACGTCGATACATGGAATGGATGAGGCGGTTGATGAAGGCCATAGGCACTTGAGCCCACACACTGAAGAACGCCTGACGCAGTTCAGCTGCAGCTGTCGGCCTTGGTCGGACGTCATTCAGCCGTCTTTGAATCTCGTCCCACAGGTGCTCAATGGGATTTAAATTGGGACTGAAAGCAGGCCAGTGCATGGTTCTGATGCCATTCTGCTGGAGACAGTCTCTTGTTGCTCCTGCAGTGTGGGCACGGGCGTTATCATGCTGAAACTCGTGGTTGCGGCGACGTGCCAAATGAGGTATGGCGTGTGGTCTCAAGACTTGATCAATGTACCGAGCTGCTGTGACACCATTGCCTCTCCCTGGACCGATATTCTGGAAGACCACAGGGCCGACCCTCTGTGCAAGACCAATTCCAACCCACACCATGATGCTCGGACCACGCCACGAGTCTCTCTCAACAACAAAAGCATCTGAATAAAGTTCCCCATGGCGTCGCCAGACTCTCTGTCTGCCATCTGCTGTTGAGATAAAGTAACGGCTTTCGTCTGAGAAGAGGACTCTTCTCCACTGCTGTTGGCGCCAATGCTGGTGCTATGTTGCCCATCGAAGACGGTCCCGGCGATGACATGGTGTCAGAATGGGTCCTCGGTGTGGCCTGTGACAGTGGCGGTGTCTGCTCGTCAATCGTTGACGCACGGTGTCCGAACTAATGTGTCGCTGGTGTGTCCCCATGGTCTGTCGAGCAGTTTCCGCAGCAGTAACAAAGCGATCTTGAAGATGCTGTCGCACAATCTGACGATCCTGACGTCGAGTGGTGACCCTTGGTCTTCCGCTACGTGGGTGGTCATCTGTAGTGTTGGTGGTCTGGTACCGTTGCTGGAGCATGTATATGGTCCTTACGTGGACTGGAAATGCATTGGCTACTTGCCGGGCGGTTTGTCCAGCTTGCAATCGTCCAAAGGTCTGGTGTCGCTGATTTCTTGTCAATCTTGGCATGTGGTAGCAAATCAATAACGAATGAATGTTATCCGATTTGGGTGGATTTTTATAGGGCAAGAAATGGGAGAACGCATGTACATTTCAATTTGCACGGAACGCACGGGTTACCATGGCCGTTGCCGTGATGCGTTTGGGCGATCGGTTTTATTGTCATCTGCTTTTAGAAACTTTTAGAAACTGTTAGAAAAATTACCCAGATATTTAAATGACAACGTTTCATGCAATGTTACTTTGGGTTACGTTTCTTTTGCGGTTAAGTATACATATATCCCACAGGACTACACAGCAACGATCAGTGCTCCCATCATTGACCACAGGTTTGCTTGGTCCAGACTCGAATACCTTCAGGCCACCGTAATATAACCATACTATCACGTAAAACCATTACCGATCGCTAACGAAATTGACGCACGAACGCTTTCACACATAGGTGTAGGGATCCATTGTTACAAGTCATAAACGTGTAATTTAATTAAAAGAGCAGGCAGGATGCGTAACGTTTAAAGTTTGACCATACGAACCTTACATATATATTGATTGATATTCCTAAAGTTATATACGGTCCAAATACTTGTAAAAGGAAATAACCGAAAGTGCCCATTCTTCTAAAAAAAATCAACTATTAAATACCCAAACGTCATCGTCATGCAATTTCTAAAAGATGAACAACTTGTTGACCTGACCAACTATGCGATCATCTGGTCCTGAACACATCGGTCGTTCTGATTATTGTAATACTAGTATAAACATAATAAGTATTGTGTATGATTATTTTCAAAAAGCTAAATTTAAGGAAACAAAACAGAAGGGCCCCGTTCCTCAAAGCGATCGTATCACTAAGCTAGACGATCGTAACTTATGACAGTCGTAAAGCTACGGCAGCTTTGTGGAAGGGCGCCCTGGAATGTTATGCAATGATCAGAGATGAATATCAAGTTAAGCCCTCACCGGAATAGTGCAGCAAATGATTAGCAAGACATGAACTCAACCCTGCTGCAGTGATTTTGTCCCACGACAGCTGGCTATCCTAGAGGGTAAGCACACGACCAAGGTTGGACTTCGTTAAAAAGTTTGAAAAAAGACACATTCTAAGTATCCCCAACCTGTAATGGCTGCAGTTTAATAAAACTTATTCTTCGCAATTTGTTTTGTAAGGGAGACAACTACAGTTGACTAAACTGCGCGATATGTGTCATAGCATATTGGGCATTAAAACACATCTGTGACGTCATTCTATTGTTTGAACGCTCCATTATGTTTCAGGAATGGAGAGTTGCTTGTCAACTGTACATTATCTTAAAGCAGCATTTGAATTTTTCAAATATTTTCAAATACAGAATATTTTGTCAAAGTGTAAAAGTAGGGATGAGTTTTAAGTAGGGGAATATCCTCGTAACTCTCCATTCCTTAACAATAATGGGCATCGGCCCCTGCGGGGCCTCTGCTCCATTATTTTTAAGGAATGGAGAGTTACTCGGACATTCCCCTCTACATAAGAGACCATATCATAGATTCTATATTTACTTGCCCAACATTATTTGTAACTTACTGTAATACCACACCGTTTCTGAAAATGTCCCTGTCCATCCTACAACTAGCATCTGACTGAAGCTTTCACCAGAGTCCGAGGATACAGCAAGCTGACAAGATTTGCTCCGCAGCCCAGGTGAGAATAACAGGCCGACAGATTATTAGCGTATATATTAACATTTAATCGGTAGGATAATTTGAATGACGACATAAACCCGGAAGTGTTGTCTTGTACAGAGCTGACTAAATCTACAAGGGTGCCTTGCGATTTCATATTGTATGTAAACAGATACCATACATTGAAATGTTTAGACGATATAAAGCCACAAATGAACAGGTAAGGCTTCATAAATGGACATCCGCGTGCTTCGCTGTGTTCCGGCGTTAGTCCGATTAGACACCGGGACAAAAGTCTGTGTCTGAGTGACTACGGGACCCTGCGAAAGTAAGAGGCCTGTTTACTGTATGGGCACAAGATGCTCTATTTCTTTGGCTCACAGCCGAGTCTTCTTTGTGGTTACGGAAAGGGGCGAGGTTAGCCGATTGTGTCTGGGCCCCGTCTCTAGTATCACAATATATATATATATATATATATATATATATATATATATATATATATATATATATCATTTAAACTTGTTCTACCGTTGGTACGCGACGCACGCTAAGCGCAATTCGGTCTAGGAGGCATTTATAAGCTGGTTCCCGGCTCCTTATGCGCGTCGTCAACTTGCGCCAAGTTGTATTGTGATATTAGAGACGGGGCCCAGCTCAAGGCATTTAGTGCTGACGACACATTGCAACACTTCATGTGAAACGTTCGAGATGAACAAGACTCCAAAAAGAGGTAATTTCACAATCGCATGATGCAAATCAGTAATAGGAAAGAATACGAAAGAGTAACTTACTTCAAACAGAGCAATATAACCTTGAAACGCTTATTTGGTTTATAATCTTTTCGGAAAATGGCTGTGTAGTGGGGAGTAAACAGACGACTTTTTGCACGAAATGGATAGGCCCTTTATGTCACACACCACAATGAAAGCCTAGCTGACCCAGAAAAAGACTGTGTATACATAAGGTAGGACAAGGTTTCTATCTCATTCGTCACCACTCGCATCATCCCGGAATCACACAAATGGTTCCTGTCTTGTCAGACGTGCTCAAGCAAGTTATTTATGCAAGCTCCTTGCAGCGATAACCACTTCACCGAGTTCTTCTAAACGGGATAGTCAACCTCCTCACAGCGACAACGACAGTGCACGTGCTGGGATGCAACTTGGAGCTTTTATCACATTGATTCAGTAACGGTCGTTAACTTTAGTAGCCTATCGAATGGTAATTTGGAATAATCATTTCTGTTCTGCCAGCAACTAAAATACTCACTTAACAGAAATGATTATTCCAAATTACCATTCACCACAGATATTCGATTGGCTACTAAAGTTCTGAGTATTTTCTCTCATGGTTATAACATATACTGATGGCTAAAAAACCCTACCTAGAAAATATACCAGTCTGTGATAAAAAGAGCCTCTCCTGGGTGGTTGTGCAAGCAGGAATTTGAAACACTGTAAGTGTTAAAGTCTTTGCAAGTTCCCTCCAGGAGTAATGAGATGCAGTAGAAATTTGGATGGATTAATCGAGTTGATTATTATCCCCTACATGCCTATTGTGATGTTCGTTACACCTGGGGGCACGGGTGGCCCAGTCGTCTAAGGCGCCGCGAATGGCTGTGCAGAGTTGCGTCCCTTGGACATGCCAGAAACCTATGATTGTGGGTTCGAATCCCGGTTCGCCACGATTATGTTTCTAGGTTTGTCAGCATCATACCCGTGCTCGTAGGTTTCACCGAAGTGGTAAACATCTGAGACCTGCATCACTTCGGGCTTTCCTCCCACATCAAGCTAACACCACGATATAACTGGAGTACTGTTAAAAGCGGCGTTAAACCCAACTCACTCACTCACTCGTTGCACCTTGTCATGTGTTCAGTAGTTAAATATCTGGGGTTATAGTGCCATCATGTTAATTTTACTTCATATGGTATTTTCATTTACAAGTTTTTGACTTTTTGTATTTTATATTCTTTGCTAAAAACTGCAATAGACATTTGAAGTTAATAGCACATTATCGTTGTTGGAATGTAGCGATCAAAAAGTTGTACTTTTAAGTTTTCACACATGATTCTTTGTGTTTATCTGCAGGTACCAAGAGTTGTTTCCCTTTGATCTACTACCGTTGAGGATTGGGTGGAGGTATATGTTGGATAACTGGTGAGCTGTTTCACCTAGCCAATCAGTATCTATGTGTCTCTAGATATTGTACAGTCTGTTTGTGTCAGAACACCTGGCATGGCTATTTGAAGATCTGTATGTCAAAACACGAGTGTTTCAATGATGATTTAAGGGATTTTATGTGTGCTTTGTTAAGACGACACACATGATATATAAATATGCTTGTAAATTTTTTATATCTGAATTCAGTCAAACTGTAGAATAACTCAAAATTTCAATTTACAAATTGCTTGATTCACAGAGTCAAAATAACAAATTGCCCAGAAAACTGGCATTTATTTTTGTCATCATAGTCTACAAGTCTACCAATAAGTAAACACAGCCTAAAATTTTGTTATTAAATAAATTGACAAAACTTAAAGGTTAATACAAAATATGGTAAAATACACAATTACCGGTATATATTTTAAGTTATAGATATGAAGTATGATTTATCCTAATTTGTTCTTATGCGTACAGCAAGTAGAATTAGGCTGTCTGTCAAATGAATCAGTGGAATTGTCAGACAAACATTAGAGCTCTGTTTGGGAGTATGGCTTGTGGTTGTGGGGACAGCATGTCGGGTATGGAGTTGGAACTGGTGGTTGTCCAGGGTTCAGAATTAGAGGTGGATGTATGGGTGTGGGATTTGGGCCTTTGAGGTTGTGGGTCTGATGGTGGGAGTTTTGGTTTGGGTATTGAGTTGTGGGCCGGGGCTGATTCAAAGTGTTATAGATATGGGAAAGGTCCTGGCATAGGGATAGGGGGATGGGTCAAACATATATTATTTATTTGTTCACTCCTCAGAGTTATATTCTCTTAGTAGGGCTGGGACGATTACAAATTTACTACCCAAGTACCCAACCCCCTGTTACCCGACCCTACCTGGGTACCCACTGTAGGTCTCAAGAGATGTCTCAAAATGTCCGATTGGGAATTTATTTTACCATAGCCCTGTCAAAACATATTTAGATACAAGTATTAAACAATCTGGTAATGCATATGCTAAAGTTGATTGAAGTTACATCTTTATTCAACCATATGAAAAGTCAGAGGGAATGGGTGCATTGTCAGAAAGAAATGCGAACATTAGTGACGATAGAGTTCTAGATAATTTTTGTCATTAAACAATATATCAAGTGACTAACCACGGGTCTGGGTAGTCCTGTGGGTACCTGGGTCCTCAGTACCCACCTGTCCCAGCCCTATCTTTTAGGTTTGTGTGTCCTCTTTGTTCACCATTGTTCACTCATTTTAGTCATGTATTTGTACTTTATCATGTCACAAACCAAAAACAAGGCCAGTTGTCAGTCATATGATGTGAATATTTCTGCATTTGCTGTAGCTTGAAGTTTTGAGATATCCACTGGTCCAAAATGGTCCTTATCATACCTCATCCTTTACCTGTGCCTAGGTTTTAACACAAGAACACATTTCTACTGAAGGTACAATTACCAAATTAAGTGTAAAACACCTACGCCACGACACAGGTTCTCTGATGGTCCTGGACACTGCAACTCGTCATGCAGATTTTGCATCCTTCATATGTCATGATTTGCATATTGTGGATTTGAACATTTGGATCATTCCAATGTTAGATAATGATCTTTGGTTTGAAAGCACCAATCTGTGTCACTTTAAACTTATCCCAACAACAAGTTGACATGACCTGGTGTAAGTGAAACACTATTAAGTGTATCCTTTTACCACGGGTGGCCCAGTCGTCTAAGGCGCTGTGATTCCCGGTGCAGAGTTGCGTCCCTTCGGCACGCCAGAAACCTATGATTTTGTGTTCGAATCCCGGTTCGCCCCGATTATGTTTCTAGGTTTGTCAGCACCATACCCGTGCTCGTGAGTTTCACCAAAGTGGTAAACGTCTTGAGACCTGCATCATTTTGGGATTTTTTCCTCCCACATTAAGCTGACACGCTGTGATATAACTGGAATACTGTTAAAAGCGGCGTTCAACCCAAATCACTCGCTCACTTCTTTTACCGACATGTTATGATGTGTTAACAATGACCTGTTTTCAGAATCTACAATGGCTACAGCATCCACTTTTGAAGATGAATTCCTCACTTGCACTATCTGTTATGATGTGTACACCATACCAAAGTCCCTGCCATGTCTTCACACATTCTGCCTCAAGTGTTTATCATCATACATCGTAGCAGAAGAAGAACAGTTTGGAGTAAAACGTAAAGAAGCTTTTCCCTGTCCTCTCTGCAGAGAGCTGATCAAAGCCCCTTGTTCATCCAAGCCTCTTGAACTGTGGGCCTCTGACTTCAAGACAAACTTCTACATAGAAAGTTTGATGAGTGCTTTAAAGGTCAACGAATCAGCAAGTCTGCAGGTGACACAAGTTGAGGATGTCTGGAGCCGTGCTAGATCCCTGCAATCTCCTGTCAACCCTTCACCCATGGATCTGCTGTCGCAAGCTTCTACCTCAAATAGGTCAAGAAGCATCAATAACATACCCTCAATAACTAGTGACCATCAGAGGGGTTTTGAGACTGCTACAACACATTCATCTTCCATGCCTAGTTTGAACCATCAAACCCGTGAGACTGTTCACATTTCTAGTCCAGCTTGCATACCACATAAGAAGAGGTTTCGACTTTTCAAATGTCTTTCAGGAGAAATGCAAGGTGACAATACAAAAGTTCAGTTTTGCGGAATATGTGTTGTTGGCGGTGTCATTGTCGTTTTGGACTTTGGAAATCAAAGCCTTAAAACCATTTCCAACTGGAAGGACCATGATGTCAAAATACAATCTCTTCAACTTGCAGGTAAGCCGAAATCTGTCACCAGCGTGACAGACAGCTATGTTGCAGTGACAGTTCCATGTCGGAAATCTATTTACATTATTTCAATTGAGTCGGAGTTGGAAGTAGTCTCGGACTTACGTACTGAACGATGCTACAAAAGCATCCATGATTCAGGATCAGGAAACTTTATAGCTGTCACATCTCCGATCCATAGGCACCAAACTCACAGCAATGACGTGCTAGGACCCATAGACATTATCGATTATGAAGGGAGGCGGCTCACTTCCATACGCCTCTGTGACGAGCTGACTCATCTTGACTTCACCCACATAAGTGTCTCTTCTTCTGGTTTGATCCATCTTGTTGAATCTACAAACAAAACATTGCACTGTTTGACTCAATGTGGCCATGAATTGTATCGGTATCTTCCTAAATGCTTTGAGGAAAAATTTCTTTCTCCAAATGGATTATGTTGTCATAATGATGATATATATGTTACAGATTTTGAAACAAACAGTGTGTTTGAGATAAAGTGTGACTGTGGACTTCCTGATGTTCAGGAGAAGATTTTGTCCATCTCTGACGGTATGAAGCAGCCTATGGATGTCCATGTAGAAGCTGATGGCACTGTGTTTGTTGCATGCTGGGATGGATTTGTTCGTGTATATTCTACATTTGGAGCACGACCTTCAATATTGAAGAAATTTAAGGAAACTGAAATTTGAAAATGTGGGATTTATTTCTATAGTACGGTTTTTGCCATACTTAAGAAAAGACTCAATTTCCTGTCTGTTTACACATGACCCTCTCAATCCCACAGTGATTTGTAGCCCAGTGAGATGATGATAACAAGGATATATTGTAAGTAATGTCATGTGCAGGCCATTTTCATGTTCAGGCGATCAATAATATTGATAACAACATGGCATTAGTAACAATGGCCACCTTCTTGACCTCCTTTTCCCTGACCGCCAGGATACATGAGATTTACAAGAAAAGCAAAACTGTTCTGACCAAACAAATGTTTTCTCCAGGAATATATGATAAATACATATTGATTAGTTAAATATTAATCTTGGTCAAGTATCTTGTAACATGTCAACAAATTTTGCCATACTGACTATAAACTGACTTATTATCCCCCTGCCCAACAAAGTTGGCGAGGATATAGAAACAGGCTCCGTCTGTCCGTCCGTCCGTCCGTCCGTCATGTTTCGTTTCCAGAGCATAACTCAGCATAACTGGTGTCTTTTGCTATTTAGAGAAATTTAAGAAATTTTTATTTTTTACGTTTCCATGGCAACAAGATGGACTAGGTTCTGTGAGGGTAGGGTTTGTTTCGGAGCATAACTCATAAACCGTTCAATATTTTTTCATCAAATCTGCAGGTTTGTCAGGTACATGTTGAACTGGTGCCTTTTGCTATTTAGAAATTTTAGAAATTTTTATTTCTTATGTTTCCATGGCAACAAGATGGACTTAGATTCCAAACTCTTCTTTTTTTTTACAATTTCCATGACAAGTTCCGGTTCGGTTAAAAAAGGTTAGGGTTTGTTTAGATTTAATTATGTCATAAATTCTGCAACAGGGGCGGGGGATATAGCCACGTTAGTGGCAAACTCGTGTCTTACCTTGGACGTATCATTAACATGGTATTCATCCTCAGTATCATTACTGCCAAAGTCTTTCACCAACTGGGGGTGGTCGGGTAGCCTAGTGGTTAAAGCGTTTGCTCGCCATGCCGAAGACCCGGGTTCTATTCCCGTCATGGGTACAATGTGTGAAGCCCATTTGTGGTGTTCCCTGCCGTGATATTGCTGGAATATTGCTAAAAGCGGCTTAAAACCTCACTCACTCACTCACTTTCACCAACTTCATATTTCAACCGTAAGATTATGTGAACACCATAATTTAGTTAATGCTGTTCAATATTCTGCAATATCTATCATATGCTTTTCAAATAAAAAAGAGCTTTTGATACGCAAGTACAACCTCCTGTCACTTAATGAGTTCAAGTTATGTCTCCATTTATGTTTCAGCATATCCTTAAGTCTTAGGTTAAAAGACCCAATAAAACCTATGTTATTGGAAATAAGTTGGGTATTCCAGATGTCCCTAAAACATTATATACCCCGGGGTATAGGTGAGGGATAACAAAGCTGGAATATTGCTAGACCAAATATATTGGAAGTTGAAAGCGATTATATTGAACAACTTTATGTCTCGGTTACTCCATAAACATTATATTTTCGGGTCGTGCATGTCTAGTTGTTCCATCATCTGTGATTTTATTATTTTGTTTTGTTTTGTTTTGTTGTGATTTGTGGTGATATTATTTTTATTATGATGTTGACTTTAATTGTTTTTATGTGTAGTATGAGCTGCACGTGACAGTATGAATAAATGATGTATTGTTGTCATGTAAGTCAAATAATATATGCGATCGTCAGAACTTGGTTCACTCTCCCACTCTCCTAAGTTGACCTTGTTTTGTGTTGATGCCACAGTGTTTTGGCTTTGTGATTATTCCTTGCATCAAGGTTTCCTTGTTTTATTTTGTTTGCCTCTTTAACTGACCTGTAATGTAGTTAAGGATGTTTTGTATTAAACAATGTCTATACCTTTCAAATGATGTTCAAAGCACAGGGTGTTATTGATATGCAAATTTTCCTGTTTTGTTTTTTTTGCCATAAAAGGCAACATACAGGGCTCAATATACGCGTTGTGCTTGTATTTAGTTAAGAAGGTCCTTTGACCTGCTGTTATTTTGTATTAAATCCTATTCAATAGTATTGAAAATGTCTCGCCTGGTGTCTTTATGTTGCATCAATCTTCAATCTGTGATTGCTTTCAGGGATTGCTTGAAACTTTGTATGCAAGCTTGCAAAGTGTTGAAAGTACCTTAAGCTACTCAGTGTTTTTAAATACTATTTTAATTGAGTTGTTTTATATTTATAGTGAAAGTTTATTTACATATTAGGCAAGTGCTGAATGAGAGTAGGGCTAATGTCTAGAGCTCAACTCATAAGCTGTTCAATAATAATTTTAAAACATTCAAAAACGTCAGACAAGTGATGAACTGGTGCCTTATCATGACGTATAAATTTTTTGTCTCACCTGAGCCATGTGAGCTTATGTCATGGTCTGCTTGTCCGTCGTCTGTGTTAGTCATCATCATCATCTGTTAGCATCTTCACTCCGGAATCCACTGGACCAATTATGCTGACACCTCAACATGCTTATTCCTACCAGTACCACTGTTGGACATCTGTATTTACTCTAGGGATTTGCATGTGATTGTCAACATGATCGCCATGGCCAATTTAACTTTTGTATATTGTAATAATGTTTTTCAATAGTACATCCATTCTTGCAGAGTGGTCATTGTGTAAATTTAGAAATTTGTTTCACGCAGACATTAGCAACTTTTGTTAGGTGGCTGTTGACATTTAAAACTGCTGACCAGATTAGCTACAGTTCTGTTGCACATTTATACTTTTTTTTTGCGTTTCCAAAGCAAACTTCTATATTTTTGCATGAATCTCTGTATATACCTTCATGTGCCAACTGCTGAACTGGTATCTTTTGATAGTCAAGAAATATATATATTCAGTTTTTGCACTTCCCTGGCAGAAATGTCAACTTAAGGTAGGGTTTGAGGCCAGTGAGAAACTCGGTATTTCTCTAAGACATGTAAAGATTAATAATTTTATACCTTCACATTGTGAGAACTGGGCTTAAGTTTGAACATAATAAGGTTTTGTTTCAAGGGTATAGCTTCCAAATTTTCCGTATTCCCTTCTGTATATAGAAAGATATAATGTCATTTGTATATACATGAAATTAGTAAGGTGCCTATTATTGTTTGGGTAATTTCAACTAATTCACTTCACCTTTGCTTACCAGAGATTAGGCACCCTCTCATAAGAAGATCAATATCATAATACTTTATTGCATTCTAGGCCTTAACATGTTCAACTGTATATGGGACAATTTCAGGTCAACAGTTTCTTCTCAATACTCAATAGTAGACAATGCAAAGTGTACATGAATTATATGATGATAACAGTCGGACAAGGCAGTTCCTATTTTAAGTGTGCAAGTAATTTGTCCACAATGTATTTTTCCTCAAGTTATGAGATTCACACAGGTATTTTATCCTACCTGGCTTTCAGTGTAATGAAGGGACTGTTTTTGTTCTTTCTGTAACACCATAATTAGCTGTCAGTCACTTACATATGTCTGATTGATATTAATATCATCACAGAGTAATAAAAAATCTGTTAAATGATTTTTGTTATTATGATTTCTAATGTTGCTAAATATCGCATAAATAGGATTATGTTTTTATGCTGCACATTGTTTTAACCATTTTTGCCTTTTGTGTGAACCAAGCAAGGCTGCCCTTGTCGATTAGCTTGACACCTAAAAGTATCAAATTTTGCTCTCTGCCCTGGTGTGTTCTCTGAAAGGTTATTTCTATTTTTATCATTATTTTCACCAAGTTTTACTTTGGCAATTTGAAGTTGTTCATCTTCTGAACAATTATGCACAGCTTAGGATCTCATCCCCTGCAGTGTCAGATCTTTCCATATTTTCTTTGACAACAGTCCAATTGTTACAGCTACTTTAAGGTTTATTTTCACACTAATGTATAATTTCAATTTCAATTTTTTATCCCAAAATATGCAGCTTGCAATTAGTGTATCCATAAGCACAAGTTCAGGCTGCATTGTCCTCATGGGATGATACAAGTAATACCTGGTCTTCATATTTCCACAGAGGTATGTTGGCCATGTGTTGTAGAGACACCCAAATTTGCAGTGTAAAGTGGCCCCCCTTAGTAATGCCGGATCGCTGATTGTTTTGGAATCCAAAGTTCATAATAATTTTGTTCCGTGGTCTGCATTGTATATGTCTTGTGGGTTTCACTTCATTGGTAAATGGTTACATCCACATTAAGCTGTGAGGCTGTGATAGAACTGAAATATTGTTCAAAGCACCATTAGACACATCTCAGTCAAGTATTGGTCGCAATGTTATCTTTGCATCAATGAACACGACACTCATTAGCTGATCATAACAATATCACGACTGTGTCACCTTGGAAAAGAAGCCTACCAGTAGCTAGCTTGTGGTGAAACATGAACAATGCTCAAGAGTGATTGAATGCAAGACAGAGTTTATCACTTGGGTAAAACCCATAAGTACTGGTATGGTGCAGACAAACCAATAGATATAATCAGGGCAAATCTGAGATTCACACCCACAAGCATAGAATTCTTCCGTGCTTTAGAGATGCAACTCTGACCAGCGAAGTAGGGTGCCTTACAAAGCTGGGTCACCGATGCCCCACCATGTACAAGAACTAGGACGACAGCATCCGTGGTCTGGTGGTAGAGTGGAAGGTCGGGAGATTTATCCCAGGCCTCGTCATACCAAAAGACGTTAAAAGATGGTACTCAAAATTCCTCTCCGCTCTGAAACATGCCACAGCATGTATCTCAGTTTGATCAATATCTCTGACACAGTGTGGCATGCTTGCCCTGAGGATTTAGGTCACTGATATTGTATGAAAACGGTACAAAAATGCTATTTATATTGGTTGCTTTAGCAGTACATCCAAGGTGTGTGTGTGTGTGTGTGTGTGTGTGTGTGTGTGCGTGCGTGTGTGCGTGTGTGCGTGCGTGCGTGCGTGTGGGGGTGCATCGAAACATTTTAAACTTTGCACTTCTCATTCTGTGGAGTGTGACATTCTATTTATTGATGTAGAGCTAATCATTTTTATTTAATGCATGTGTGGTTCACTTCACACTATAATCAACGGAACACATTTGAAGATCTGACCGGATCATGAAATTAATAAAAGTCAGTAGGACAACGACATCGAATTACTACAAAGAACCGCGACATCGAATATTTAGAATCACTGAAGCAAGTATAAGTAAGACCTTTTGACTGCAGACTCTTGGAATATTAGACACGTTTGAGTGTAGAAAGTTATTATTTGTGAGTGAAGAGCTTATAAGATGTTATTGTTTTAGATATCTTTTTGTAGTAAACCTGTACCAAATCAATTTGGGGAGCGGTCGGGTAGCCTCGTGGTTAAAGCATTCGCTCGTCACGCCGAAGACCCGGGTTCGAATCCCGACATGGGTACAATGTGTGAAGCCCATTTCTGGTGTCCCCCGCCGTGATATTGCTGGAATATTGCTAAAAGCGGCGTAAAACCATACTCACTCACTCACTCAAATCAATG